TTCCCTCAGGTGTCTGTAGACCTGCGGCTTCAGGCGACTGAACTCCCCGCCGCCTTCCTAGGGATGTTCGGAGCAGCGTCACCGCTCTGAGCCTGTAAAAACAGTAATTCATTGATCACGGTATAGGTGTTGCCACATATATACATAGGGATTAAATGAGATAATGTAGTATTTAAAGCCCATAGCACAATACCTTGGCTTTTTAGTAACACTTCGAGTTGAGGTGGTTTGATGTATTAGCTTTTGCTTTATAGCAAGCCATCCCGAAACTCAGTGGCTTAAAACCACCGCCACGGGGTAGTTAGGGTTGTGTGGGCAGTTCCAGTCTTGCCCGGGCTTGGCTGATCTCTCAGGCATGGTGGTCACTCGGCCAGTGGACTTGAGGCCGGCTGGTCCTGGCAGCCCCACTTGCACATGGGGTGGTCGGTTATCTGGAAACAGTGGGGTCGACTAGGCCACATGACTCCTCACCTAGGTTCAAACCTCCTTGGAATCCAGAGTCCTCAACAACAGCCCTTGCTTTCCATCCCGTCTTCCGTGCGCCCTGCACGCGAGGCTGTCTTACCGCTTCTCCGAGCGAGTCTTTGCCTTCTGCCCTGCCTCCTGGTCTCCTCAACAAGGCTCTGTCTCAGTCACGTGCTCCCTTGGTGGCCAGCACAAAGGAGCTGAGTGAATGCAGAAAGGGAGTAGCTTCCCGGTGGGGCCTGTCTCACATCGTCTTTACCTGCTAATCCTTCAATACTCACCTGTTTGTGCGTTTTACTTTGTGACATCTGTGTCATCTCTTAAACTGAGCAGTTTGTTGATGTTTTTTGGTATTGATTTGTAAGAAATGTCAAAGAATAAAATTTTGTAGTAAGGCATTCGTTAGTCCGCCATTCTCTCTCTTGTTAAATGAACTCTTCTCTGAATGTCTGGGGGTGGCATTCAGAATAGTTTGCAATGATGTTCATTAAAACGTAGGAAAGTTTGGTTTCTTAGTTTTACACACATGTATGGGGTAAATTTGAACGGCTGAGTGGTGAGAAGATCCAGTGTCTGTTTTCTCAGCTCACCTGCATTGAGAGTAGCATTGGTCTGCAACCCAGGGCTGCACAATGTTTACAACATGCAGCACCTGACTATTGAGTCAGGGCACTGAACTGTCAAAGGAAAAAAGGACAACGGCCAACACAACAGTAGCCGTCCGCTGTGAATGAATCGACATTATAACTATTTTTTGTCATGTCAGCAAAAGGTATAATATTTTTTGTGTGTCACAGAATTTTCGGAATGAGTTTATGAGTGCCACGAGATGAAAAAGGTTGAAAATTGCTGGTGTACAGAATGGGATGTTTTTCTAGGCCAAGGAAAGCAAGTTTTTGTCTTTTCCTTTCTGTTTTTAATTTAACAGTGCTCCGCAGAAAAGACAGATAAAGCACAGAGTCAAAGAGGCCAGCACTTGGGTGTGCATTTTTCCGCTTTCCACTGTTTCATCTTCTAACTTGCATTTTTGGACCTGTTAAATGAATAATGATTAACTGTTGCCATTTTTTTCCCCCTTAACTTTTATATAAGTCACAGTTCAGAGTTTATGAAGCGTTGAAACACCATAATGCAATAAATTATGCAGCGCGTGGTGTAACGGGGAGGGGGAACCAACAACGAAACCGTCTCTTCCCGGCCTCAGGAAAACCCGACTCTAATCCTGGCTTTGAGGATGACTTACGATGACCTTGGAACAGTTTAGCTTCTCGTTGGCTCAGGCTCATGAGCCTCTGAAAGGTTTCTCTGCAGTGTGAAAATATTATACTGTTTCTATTAAGCATGTGTCTTTCTGGGATTTTGTAATAAACATTAAGATGAGCATGGATGTTTAAAATGAGAGAAATGGATGCCCTTTTTAGGCTATTTAATACCTGCAAAGTTAATAACATGACCTCGGTAGATAGAGAAGGTATACACCGAGTTTGTTTTTGAAATATGTGTTTTGTCACAGAGGCAGCAGGTGGGGGCCGACGACCAGGGTTGATGAGCAGGGTTACAGAGATGAAAATAAATGTGAACGCATGATGAATTCTTCACCAAATCCACGTGCCTGGAGTGTGGGGTGTTCGGACAGTGTCTTGCGACCTTGAGCTCCCCGATTTCCTGCGTCTCTTGGTGTTCACGACCTCATGCCAGCCGTGGAGGAGGCACAGCCTGTCCCTGGTGATGGCGTTCGGGCAGAGAAAGCCTGTGGCATCTGACGGGATTCCTTCGGTGGAGTGTGAATCTAGAAAGAAAGGCCTTTTGTCAGCCTGGAGTACCTTACGCCTTGGTGAGCTAGCTCATGTCATGTCAGTGTCAGCGGCCACAGGAGGCTGGTGGCTGCCCTGTGAGCTGGCCCAGGTCGAGGTCCTCTGTTCTCGGCTTTGCAGGGGCTCGTCCCATCCGCTGTTGGTTAGCAGGGAAGCCGGCTCCTCTGTGCGGAAGGAGCACCCTGCTGGTCTCCCTGAGGTCGCCTCCCTGGCTCCTACTTCCCCGAGGTCTTTGGAGGAGGGGTTTCCTCTTTGAAATTCTCTGCCCCTGGCTTCTGGGACACACGGGTCTGTCCCAGCCACTGCTGCACAGGCTACTCCGGGCTTTGTAAACACGGGTGGCCTTTACCTTCATAAGACTGGCCCACCGTTTCCTTACTTCGTGGTGGGCCTGCTGTTCTCCTGGTTCTTCAGACTCTCCTCTGTGCTCGTGCACCCCAGTCTGTCCGTGGGCCTCACACCCCTTCCCTGCCTCGTGTCACAGTGCCTGACACAGGGCTCTGAGTACACGTGAAGCGGTTCTTTCAGCTCACAGATGCATGCTGTACCTGGGTATCACTATTGCCAAGTTCAGCGTAGCTGTGTCTGTCTTCCTCTGACACGTACTTTAAATTCAGCTCTTTTATAGTTTTAAGAAATTCATGTGCTCACACATTTAAGTATGTTTTAGAGTAATAGAGGTATAACAGTGTAATCAAGATGTACACGAAAGACAAAGTCTCTGTTCTCATGGGCTTTGCAGCACACAACAGAAGACTTAACTGAGCGGCTGTCATACTGTGGGGAAACGTAAGAGCTCGGAGAACCCAGCCGTGGGACCCCAGGCCAGGCCTCGGGACCATATTGAAGCTGAGGTCGAGTGCACAGGAGTAGCTAGGCTAACATGGATGACAAGGGACAATTCATTGCATTTGACTGGAACTAAGGTTCCATTTGGGCTCACCGAGGAGAGCTCATCTGAAGCCTGTTAGAGCGTGCAGATAATTCCAGACCTCGGAGGTGGTCCGGTCTCTGTCCACAGTGAGCTGGCAGCGTGGATGTGGGTACATCGGATTAGCAGTCGGGTGTGCTGTACGTAAACTGTGAAGCGGGAACTTCCCTGTGCTAACAGACAGTGTTTGCTGTGGGGACGTATTGCGACGGGCACGCGTGCAGTGGACCGTCCTCTATGGAGGCAGAGTGCTCCTTGGCTGAGAACACCCAGCCGTGGCCGCGTGGGGTTAGCTCCCATGACAGCTCTTTGTTGGGCTCATTGGGACGATTAAGTGGGACTCATGGTGATGTCCTGTCACTCAGACTATTTCAGACCACAAGCAAAGGGTGGTGAACTTTTGATAGGAAAGAGAAAAAAAAAGAACTTGAAAAGGTTTTTAATGAATGAAAATCACACGTGTGCCAAAGCAACATTTTCACACCATGTCAAGCATTGTGAAACATTTTCCTTGAACCTCTAAAAATCTGTAAGTATGCTTTGAGAAAAACCTCATATTCTGACTTACAAAATAGGCTTTTGTTGTTCTTATTAAAAAGAGAGCCTTGTTCCTTGAAGTGTGGGGAAGAGAATGTTGATTTAGATTCTTAGTGACTATTTAAGGGGAAAAAAACACCTTCAAATGACATGGAAACACAAATCTTTCATTTATAAATTTAGAGAAACATTTTTGAATACCCTTTAATTGGTAGACTTGTGAAAATAGGATAATAGAGAAAATCAACTAGAGTAATAAAATCTGTTCTTAAACATGAGTTATTTGAAATAGTCCCCTGCAGAGAACGCACAGGAAGCCGGGAGGAGGGGCTCAGCCCTAGCAGCTGTCTTTCCAGCTACAGTGTCCCTGACCTGGAGAATGTTGGAGCCCGCAAGGCCTGTCCCGTACCAGCAGAGGCTGTGGAGGGTGTTGTAGTGTCTGGGACTTTTGTTTGTATTTTCTGTGAAGTACTAGAATAAATTGAATCAATTTTAATGATCTTCTAGGTACCAACACATGTTGACAATTTACCAGACAGTTATCACAGTTCTGGAGAGAGGTAGAAAGTATATGTTGTAGTTTGCTAGAAAAATCAAAGAAATAAGGATATTTCTTTGAGGACCATTTGTTTTCTTCTTTTACTGGGAATTAAATGATTGTTATTTGAGCAGCATTACCTGGAAAAATCACATTTGTTTCTATAATTCTTCATTTTTGAGAGGAGATGATGCAAAGGTAATGACGCATAGTCAACGTCCTATTTTCCAGTGACCCTTTCATTAGAGTTATAGAGGTTACTTCTGTCAATTCTTTTTTTTTAATCCTCACCCGGGGATATGTTTTCTGTTAATTTTCAGGTGCGTGCACACACACACACACACACACACACACACACACACACTGCATCAGTTGAAGGAGATATGAATGAAGTTGAAATTCTGAATAGATTTTATCTCATGTTTTAAAAATCTTTTCTGACCATGCATATTGAGTCTGCTACACAAAAAAAGTAACAGGTTTGAGTTTTTTCACTTTCTTTGTACTTCTGTAATATACCTATTGTGTTTAAGAATTATTAAAAAGAGAGTGTGTAAAGTGTGTTAACATAAAATGATTAACTGTTCTTGTATTAATCATTTTTTTCCCTTGAGAATAAATTAGAGACTTGCTCAGACTTTTACATACAGAGCATGGTTATGTGAGGTTATGGTTTATTTTGTCGTGAGGATTAATGACTGTTATCCTTTTACAGGTCTCATCACAACTACCTCAAGGAAACTGGACCGAGAACAGCAAGATGAACACATATTAGAAGTAAGCATCTCTTCACTTTTACTAAAAAAATATAGTCATTATCATGGGAAAGAGCAGTCTCGTTCACATTAGTGTTCATAGCTGTTAATATTTTGCTCTATTAGCTTCCTGTCATTAATAAAAAGGGAAAATAAAACATTGTGAACATATTTTATGTCTTCTTTACATCCCTTTCTGTCCCAGAATACAAGACCCCGGTCGTAAGTTCCGTTCTAATTTACATGCACACACACACAGGAAACAACTGAAACCAGTCCTTTGAATTTTATTTTCATTTACAGAAGTAATTTTTTTTTGTATGTCTCCTACGTCTTTTTCTTCAGTCTGATGCTTTTGAGATATAGTTATACCAATAGATCTAATTCAGCTTTTCCAGCTGTAGTTAGCTTGTTTCCAGTCTTCCTTACTCTTAAACAATTGCATTGTTTATGCATTTTGAACTGAATTATGTAAAGTTTATGCTTTTAAAAGTTTCTAAAATAAAAGCAGATTGAAAGTCTATGATGGGCTTTCTAGTAAGGCATCTCATCTTTGTGGTGTATTTAAAATGCCTCTAGTCCTTGGCAAGAGAAACACCACTTATCTTTTGCTGCCTGCGCTGTTTCTGGTGGACAGGAAACACACTGCAGGGTCAGGATCGGAGGAGGTCGGAGGGGAAGGTAGCCTCAGTCAGATGCGCCTGCGGCTGCCGCTGCCTGTAAACCCGGGAGAGGCCGCAAGGAGGGAGTCCGAGCGGAACAGTCCCGTTACCTGCTCAGGTGTCCCTGTCACAAGTTCAAGGCCGGTGTGGAGCGTTGGAGCCAGACCAGCGCTTCGGTTTAGCTGGATTACCGGCACAGCTGTTCTTCCCTTCCGTGTGCGTGATCGAGGAAACTCTAAACTACGATGTTTTTTGTCTCCTCTTTACATTATGGCCGTTGCTAATGCCACCTGCTTAATTTTATTTCATGCTTAGTCAAACTTTTCTAACTTCTCAGTAAAGCATTTCATTCTGTAGCTATATATAGGGTGTGTGAATGAATATCCTATCTAGGAAAGGTGGGTTCACAACCACAATTACAGTTAGTGACTTCTTCGTGGGTTACCTCTCACTGTGTAGTTAGTGCTTGTGTAGTTCCCTCGAAATCACTTTTCTGTGTGATACAGAAGAGTTTTTCATTTTCATTCAGTCACTCGTGTGATTGACAGGGGAGGCCGGGGAAACCAGCGGTGGCGAACCGTCCGGAGCAGCAGGTCCACGCTGGCACCTGCCCCTGCCCTGGCCAGAGCGGGGCGCACCCCAGCCCCGCGGCCGCCCCGGGGAGCCCGCTTCTCAGCGACGGTCAGCGGGCGGGAGTGGGTCTCAGAGACTAGGCTTCGAGGGTACTGTAACTACATCGACGGGGAATGAGACTTCGCAGTGGTGCGTTGTCACAGCTTAGACGGTTTCTGTCCTTCCGTGGTGTACATCCCGGCCCGTGCTGGCATCGATTCTTGACAGTCTCAAAGAAACGCGGTTTCTTCAGTCACACGTTAAAAACTGTGCTGCTGACTATTGGGTATTGAATCCAAGCCCGGGAACAGTTGATGATGAAGACCATGAAAGCATAGTCCTTGCTTGCATTTCTTTTCAGTTTTTCTTTTTTCCCCAAATACCGTCTGAAAACTAGTCCAAAGGAAATATTTTGAGACATTAAAATTACAATAGTAATTTTAACTTTGTTTTATTTTGAGAGTTTGGGAAGGTAAATTGTGTACTTGGAAGTAAATTAACCACTTTACTTCAGTCCTCCTGACAGGTACTGTCAGAATACGGTCCCGCTTGTGCAAATAGCAGGGTGTGCACCTACCCAGCCTCAAACAGAAAGCAGTTCCATGAGAAACTTCAGTCTGCTCCAGTTTTCAGTATTTCAGTAATGATTTGGGGAGGATGCGGGTGAGGGGAGAATAACTGTTAGCAAGGTCATTACTTTTAATGTACACACTGAAGTAAAAATGAGCCTTTGATTTAAGGTGAAATCGTTTCATAACGTGTCTAGAAGTGTGCACCAGGGCGTCCTCAAGAATCCCTGGTTTTTATTCCTAAACTGATTACAGGAATCATTTACTTAGAATAAAAGTTATTTTACATTTCTTTTACTGAAAATTTTATTTCATAAATTGGTCTTAAATTTAAATGTTTATGTTCATCCTCCTAAACATGGAAAACTTCTCTACAAGAGCCAAACAGAATAGAATAATGATTACTAGTATTAAAAGATGAGCTGTTTAACACAGGTTTTAAATGGATCCTTCAGCTTATTTTATTGATGAAGCTTAAAAATGATCATTTTAAGTATATGCAGTGTGTGTGTATATATATATTTTAAGAGGACTCTTTAGATATTTAAAGCAAAATCTTCATGTATTTCTTCCTTGGCTTAAAAATATTAAGTTTTGGATAGCTTAACATTTTGGTGACGTTCACACTATGGTAATGCTTGTGTGAGGGCCCCTGGCCGGGTAGCTCAGTTGGTTAGAGCATCATCCTGATACACCAAGTTTTTGGTTCAATCCCAGGTCAGGATACATGCAAGAATCAACCAGTGAGTGCATAAATAAATGGAACAGCAAATCTCTCTCTCTCTGTATCTGTCTGTCTGTCTATATATCTATCTATCTCTTTCTCTCCCCTTCCTCTCTCACAAATCAATACTGAAAATACGGTAGCGTGAAGGAGAGAGGTGCCTGGTAAGGAGAGGGTGGGGCTCACAGCCAGCTCTCTCTTGCCCTTGCCCCCCTCCCTGAGTTTCTGTCTGGAAACGAGAGAGCTTGTCCTGCCTCCTCACAGGGCTGTTATCAGAACGAGAGAGATGGTCTGTGTCCAAGCTGTGTGAACCCTGGAGGTTTCCACAGATGCTGATGATCATAGGAGGAAGACGTTCCCTTTGTATACAGTGTATTTTAGAAACATTTGTTGATCTCTCCCCTTTAAAAACCAGGTTACCGTGACAGACAATGGTAGTCCCCCCAAATCAACGGTTGCAAGAGTGATTGTGAAAATCCTTGATGAAAATGACAACAAACCTCAGTTCCTGCAAAAGTTCTACAAAATCCGCCTCCCAGAGCGGGAGAAGCCAGAGCGAGAACGGGGTGCCAGGCGTGAGCCCGTGTACCGGGTCATAGCCACGGACAGAGATGGGGGCGCCAACGCGGAAATCTCCTACAGCATCGAGGAGGGGAACGAGCACGGCAAATTCTTCATTGAGCCGAAAACTGGACTCGTGTCATCCAAGAAGTTCTCTGCAGCTGGGGAGTACGATATTCTCTCAGTGAGTAAGGTCTAGGCCTTGACCTCCTATACGCTGATTATTAATCTAGTCTTACGTCTCTTTCTCTTGTAACTTGATTCAGTTCATGGCCTCCATATGACGATGTGAGTGTGGGTTTATTTTTCTCTTTCCAGCGGTCACTCCATCATTATTTGTTGAGTGGGGCATGAAGAGGTCGCTCTTTTTATCACACATTAAACACTTGGAATGAATATGCAAATGCAGATATTGAATGTTTGAAATTGGCTAAGACCGAGCCAATCTATGTTTCAGTTATGGGATGTTACTTCTCCTGATTGGCTGTTTGAATCCCCTGTGCCCATATTTTATAGATTAAGGCAGTTGACAATGGTCGCCCCCAAAAGTGGTCAACCACTCGACTCCATATTGAATGGATCTCCAAACCCAAACCATCCCCGGAGCCAATTGCTTTTGAAGAATCGTTTTTCACCTTCACTGTAATGGAAAGCGATCCAGTTGCTCACATGATTGGCGTGATCTCTGTTGAGCCTCCTGGAACACCTCTTTGGTTTGACATCATTGGTAAGCATTCCTCATCATTGTCCTTGCACCGGCTCCGCCGAGGAGGACCTGTTGATGCTGTTCTGATTTTTGTCCGCGTCTCAGAATTTAAAATTGGGAATAAGGCCAATTTGTTTTAAATTGCAGCATTTTGATTGCAGAATTTATCACCATACCCAACACGTATTAAACTTGTTTAAAACAGGGGCTTTGTATGTAAAATAAGATTTTTTTAAAAATTATTTTTATGAATTTGTTTTTGTTACCGATGTTTCTCCTTTTTTCCTCATTGACACCCCCCACCCCCACCCCATCCCCAGCTTTGTATGTCCATTGGTTATGCACACATGCATATAAGTTCTGTGGTTTATCCAAGGTTTTTAAAAGTACTTCAGGGAGTTACAGAGAAATCTAACCATGTTTGTCCAAAAGTACAGCTTTTTAATTTTTCCTTCTTGATACATAACATGTTTTCAGTGAATATGATTACCATTTTCAGTGGATATGATTTAAAATGTTTAAGTATGCCTACGTGATTGTCACACATAAGTATTTTACAGGGAAGAAGCTTAATTTTTTTAATTTTATAACTTAAAAACAATAGTGCCAACTGTGACATTTTAAGTTTTATCTACCTCATTCAGTAGGAAGCAGGGTTCACTAGATTAAATTTCTCTGTGATAAAAATTACACGCCTAAGCCAGTTTTTGTCATTTAATTCAGCTTAGACATAGAATGCAATACCCTATTCCAACATACTATAAAAGAGTTTACATTAGACTTTGGCATCTTGTTTTGTTCGTTTTTAATATGTTTTTATTGATTTTAGAGAGAGAGGGAGAGAGAAATTGAAACATTGATGAGAGAGAAACATCTATCACCTGCCTCCTGTATGCCCCCTACTGGGAATGGAGCCCACAGCCCTGGCATGTGCCCTCCTGACCAGTAATCGAACTGATGACCTCTCGGTACATGAGATGATGCTCCACCAACTGAGCCACACCGGGCAGGCTGAAATCTTCACTTTTTAAATTCTCTTTCTTTACATGATTTTAATTATAAGGATACTTAAGATCAAAAGCATATATTGCAATTCATCTCTAACTGGACCTTCATGTCCCTTTTCCGTCATCTGTCCTCAACCACTGTCCTCCCAAATGCTGTTTGAGCACGTGGAGCCTGGTAGGACATAGGCTGAGGGACCACGGGTGCGTGGGCACAGGCTTTTCCTCTTGAACTTTCACACCAGGCCGGCAGGCTACTTTCATAGTTTTGGTCAGTGTATGAAGTTGCGGATGTCATCAACACCTATGAAACCATTACAGGTTAGTTTTAAAGGAAAAAAAAAAGGGGGAGATTATTTTCATACTCAACCACAATCAGAACCGTTTGTTTGCTGTCTGAATTGCTGTCACAGTTCCGGATGGCAGGCCGCCCCTGCGCGGCGTCTCACGTCACGTTTGATCCCGCCTGCCTCCGGGACCCTCGGACTGACGGCTCTGCCTGTTCTCTGCTCTCTTCCATGCTTGCTTGCTTCTGTGGGGCTGTGCCAGGAGACACTCTTGCTAGAGAAGTCTTTTACATCTTTCAGATGACTTGTGACCTGAACTGTACAGCAGAAGGTGTAAGGTAGCCAGGTGCCGCCGGTGGGAGGTGGGAAGAAACCAGAGAGCCAAACAGCCGAATAAGCAGAAATCAGGCTTTATTGGGTACACTCCGGGCGGGTTCACAGACTCGGGGGGTTGAGTCCGAGAAGCCGCGCCCGATGCTGGGGTTTGTGATTTTTATATCTGCGCCTGTGGCAGAGGGAACTTGTTGTTAGGTTAGGTCCTGAGGGGCTACGCATGGGGGCCCCTGGAATGTGAGTCTATTGTCCCGGAGCGAACAGTTCCTGGACTAGGACAGGAGAATGGGACAGGAGTTGATCTATGAGTTTGGGGCAAACAGTTCCTGAAACAGGGAGGGAGTTTAGGTTGGGTAAGCGAGGTAACGGCTGAGCAGTTTGCCTGGTGCCAGTTCCCAGGCTCTCGGACATTCCCGACTCTGTGATATAGGAACAGGGGCCAGGTCGTCTTTCTGACTACTTCCTGCTGGACGGGGGCGGCGTCAGGGGAGGGGTGCCGAGTCGGTGTGGTCCGAGTCCCGGGGACTGGTCAAAGGCTGGTAATGTTGTAGCATCATTTGGTGGACCTCTATTGTCCGTGTGAGCTGTGTGAATCGGTCCTGGATGAAACGGAGAAAACAGGGGGCAATTAGCAGTATAATTATTATGATGATGGTTGGGCCAAGGAGGGGGAGGAGTAAGGAGTACATGGAGGAATTCCACCAGGAGGAGGCATCTACTGAGAACTTTTGTTTTTTTAGTTCTGAACTTAGTTGGTGGAGGGTTTCAATGTGGGTTTCTACTAAACCTGATTCGTTGATATAATAGCAACATTCTTCCCCAAGAAAGAGACAGGTTCCTCCGTGTTCCGCTGTGAGGAGGTCCAGGGCCCTTCGATTCTGCATCGGCAGCTGGGCCAGGGAGGTGATCTGCCTCTGGAGAGAAGCTAGGGACTCAGCCGAGCTATCAATAGCAATCTGAAATTGAGATTCTAAGCGTTCTGAGGTGACTAAGGAGTGTGCTAGGGCACCCCCTCCCAGTCCAGCAGCAACAGCCGAGGCTGAGAGGGAGAGTCCCACTAAAAGGGGGAAAAAGATTGCCCGCTTTTGTTTCGGGTTGTAATATATGTATTTTTGTTGGAATTCGGCAGGTGTGTAGACCATGAGTTGGGGGGTTAGGGTGACAGGCAGGCAGAGAAGAGTGGGATCCTAAGGGGGTCGAGAGGGTGATAGAGGGGTTTTCTATAAAGAGGAGGTGGTACAGCTGGAGTCGGGAGAGCCCAAGATGGGCCAGAGCCCGGTGTGAGAGAAGGTCTGTAAGGCGATGGGGAGAGAAGACCTGTAATGGTTGTTGGAGGTTGATTTTCAGAGCCTCGGTGGTGAGATCGGCTGCAGCTGCAAGAGCTCGGAGACAGGGTTGCCATCCGTGAACCGTGGGGTCCAGCTGTCTGGAGAGATAGGCTACCGGGACCAGAGTTGGACCTATCGGTTGGGCTAAGACTCCGAGAGCTAAGTGGTGTCTCTCCTCAGTATATAGGACAAAAGGTCGTGAGGGATTAGGTAAGGCCAGGGCCGAGGCTGAGCAGAGGGCCTTCAGGAGGGCCGAGAAGGCCTGGCGAACAACTTCGGGGGATGTCAAGGGCCCCTCGGGCGTTTCTTTGGCTGCCAGATAGAGGGGTTTGGCTAGAAGGGCAAAGCCTGGGACCCAGTGGCGAAAGAAGCCTACCAGTCCCAGAAATGACTGGATTTCAGCCGCCGAGTTAGGGGGCTGCAGGCCCCGAAGAGCCTGTAGCCTGTCGGTGGTAATGGCTCGATGGGTTGGGGTGACTAGGAGGCCAAGGTAAGTGACAGACGAGGTGGCTATTTGTGCCTTCTTGGAGGATACCCGATATCCCTTGCTGCAAAGGAAATTCAGTAGGAGGGTGGTGGCCGTGAGGCAATCGGCCTTGGTTGGTGAACAGATCAGAAGATCGTCTACATATTGTAAAAGGGTGGAGGGAGTTAAATTGCAAGCAAGTAGGTCTGCAGCTAATGCTTGTCCAAATAGGTGAGGACTGTCCCGGAATCCTTGGGGGAGGACCGTCCAGGTCAGTTGTTGAGCGGTGTTGGAAACAGGGTCCTCCCAGGTAAAGGCAAATAGGAAGTGGGAATCCGGGTGGAGGGGTATAGTGAAGAAGGCATCCTTGAGGTCAAGGACCGAAAAATGGGTGGTGGTAGGGGGAATGTGAGAGAGAAGGGTGTAGGGATTAGGGACTACTGGGGAAATGGGGACGACCGCCGCGTTGATGATGCGGAGGTCCTGAACAAGGCGGTACTGTCCCGAGGCCTTTTTAACGGGGAGAATGGGAGTATTACAAGGTGAATTGGTGGGGATCAGGAGGCCTTGTGTCTTAAGCCTGGTGATGATGGGCAGGAGTCCCATCCTATGAGCGTGTGAGATGGGGAATTGCGGGCGGTTAGGAAAAGAAGATGGGTCTTTGAGTTTAATTAAAACAGGAGTGTGGTGGGAAGCAATGGTGAGGGTATCCGTGTCCCAGACCTTGGGGTGGACTCCAGGTAGGAGCTGGACGTTGGGGTCTGGGTCAGGCTCAAGGTCGGGGCCTGGCACCAGTGCCAGCAAGAAGGTCTGTTTCGGGGAGAATGAGATGCTTGCCTGGAGTTTGGACAGAATGTCTCTCCCCAGGAGGGGGACTGGACATGAGGGCATGACTAGGAAGGAGTGGGAGAACGGGTGACCCTCAAATAGGCAGTTAAGGAGGGTCGTTCGTTGTGGGGTTGAGGGTGATCCGTCAATTCCCATGACCGAGACCTGGGAAGGAACTGTAATGCCCGAATGAGAGGGAAGGACAGAGTAGGTAGCCCCCGTGTCTACCAAAAAGGAGACAGACTTACCCGCTACCTGGAGCGTGACCCTGGGCTCAGCGAGGGTAACTGGAGTCGAAGAGCCAGGGCCCCCTCAGTCGTCCATTAGCCCCAGCAGTTCTAGGGCCGGGAACGTCTGGTTCTCAGTCCCCCTGCACTGAGGTGCCGAGGGCTGAGCCAGGGTCGGGCAGTCCGACTTCCAGTGGCCCATTTGTTTGCATTGAGGGCAAGGCTTGGTGGGGGGCCTAGGCTGCGGACAGGCCTTCGCCCAGTGGCCTTCCTTTCCGCATTTGAAACAGGCGCCTGGGGGCGTGCGCTGTCCTCCTTTGGAGGTCAGTCTTTTTGCCGGTTCCCCTGCCGGCCGGAGGGCCGCTACCAAGGCTTGGGTCTGGAGGCTAACTTTCTGTTGCAGCCGCGCCTGCCGGGCTGCTTCAGCCGTCTCCTCCCGGGCGTTAAAAACTTTAAAAGCCATTTTTACCAGGTCTCGGATGGGAGTCTCAGGGCCCTCTTCAGCCTTTTTTAGTTTTTTCCTGATATCTGGGGCGGACTGAGAGATAAAATGGGAGGCTAGGATTGTGGCCCCGTTGCGGGACCCTGGGTCTAGGCGGGTGTAGCGAACCAGGGCCTCCTGCAGGCGGTTGAGAAAAAGGGCCGGGTTCTCTTCGGGGAGCTGGGTAATTTCTCTCAATTTGTCATAGTTAACTATTTTATTGGAGACTGCGTCCATACCCCGAAGGAGGTATTGGAGCATGAGGTTCCGGCGCGGAATATTAGATCCAGGGCCGGCCTGATAGTTCCATGCAGGATCGTCCTGGGGAACTGCTTCATTGCCGAGGGGGACTGTATTGTCTATTAGGTGGTCTCTATCTGCCTGCTGCCTGGCGGCAGAGAGGATACGCTCATGTTCCTCAGGGGTGAGAGTGGAGGTGCAGATTACTTTGATGTCATGCCATGTCAGGTCATAAGTCTGGGACAGGTATCGGAACTCTCTGATGTAGGTTGAGGGGTCAGCTGAGAAGGATCCTAACCTCTTTTCAATCTGAGAGAGGTCCTGGAGGGAGAAGGGGACATGCACCCGCACCAGTCCTTCTGCCCCAGCCACCTCGCGGAGAGGGGCCAGGACAGCAGGCGGGGGTTGGGGAGTGCGAGATCGGGTATGGGCTGCTATGGGAGAGTCGAGGGGGTCAGCGGGAGGTGGGGCAGCCAGAGCCGGGTCAGGACCAGGGGGGTCTTCTCTGAGGAGGGTTGGGGGAGGCGATAGGTGATCAGGGAGGTCATCAGGCAGAGAGTAAGGAGGGGGGTCTATAGGAGGTGCCTTTGGAGGAGGGGAAGTCTGGGCTAGGAGAATCTGGAGAGTAGAGCAGTGTGAGCAAAGGTCAGGGCGGGAGCGGAGGTCCCAAAAAGCCTGAATGTATGGGATCTCAGAGTCCTTTCTGGTCCGCCGGCAAAAATTGGCCAGGTCCCGGAGGACATTAAAGTCGAAAGTACCTGTAGGTGGCCAGTGAGACTGGTTGTCTAGGGTGTATTGAGGCCAAGCGACCTGGGACAAGAAGATGAGTTTCTTCTTGTGGAGGGTCTGAGAGTATCCCAATTTGGAGAAATTTATAAGAAGACATCCCAAAGGAGTCTTAGGGTCTATTTTGGATTCGGAGTTTCCCATAATTTAGTGGCCTTCCGGAACCCTAAGTGTCGGAGGAGAAAGGGTATGAGGGAGGCGTCCCTTCCAGATACCCGTCTCCGGATAGAGATAGAGGGGTGACTGAAAGGCGTCCCGTTCAATCAGTCCCCCTATATAGACTCCAGGAGTCGTGAGGGGAGGGCTCTCGGCTTGGCCAAGTCTAGGACGAGAGACCCCGGCGGGGACACAGGGGTCCGGCAGGAAGGGAAAGGGATCCAATTACTTACGGTTGCAAGCCGTATCTGCAGGGAGCTCCGAATTCAAAGCGGTGGAGGGCGGCACGAGGCAGGGAGAGAGAGAGGGGGGACTCTCGCCTCAGCCTGCAGGGACTGAGGCGGGTCGCAAAACCCCTCTCCCGGGTTTCGGCACCAGATGTAAGGTAGCCAGGTGCCGCCGGTGGGAGGTGGGAAGAAACCAGAGAGCCAAACAGCCGAATAAGCAGAAATCAGGCTTTATTGGGTACACTCCGGGCGGGTTCACAGACTCGGGGGGTTGAGTCCGAGAAGCCGCGCCCGATGCTGGGGTTTGTGATTTTTATATCTGCGCCTGTGGCAGAGGGAACTTGTTGTTAGGTTAGGTCCTGAGGGGCTACGCATGGGGGCCCCTGGAATGTGAGTCTATTGTCCCGGAGCGAACAGTTCCTGGACTAGGACAGGAGAATGGGACAGGAGTTGATCTATGAGTTTGGGGCAAACAGTTCCTGAAACAGGGAGGGAGTTTAGGTTGGGTAAGCGAGGTAACGGCTGAGCAGTTTGCCTGGTGCCAGTTCCCAGGCTCTCGGACAGAAGGTATCTGCTGAGATCACATAATTTGCCTCAGATTATGAGATCTACCATAAACTCATCATTTTAGAACTGTCTCATTGCCAGGGACTACCTTTCATTGCATTTTCTCTGCATCGTGTGCACTCGGTCACCCATCTTCACTGCAAACATACCGACTTCTCGTCCATCCCCAGATCCTTAGCTGAAGACTTTGTTTTGTGTGTGTGTGGTTTTGCTTTTCGGTACGATTTAGTGATAGAACTTCATTGTGACATTAAGGACATGTTTCGTTCCATTTCATTGATGTAAGTATCTCAAGTTCGATGGATTTGAAAAGAGAGTTTTATTTAGAATGTAAATTGGGTAATGTAAGCAACACAGAAATTTTTGCTTCATCATGTTTTGTTCGACAATAATGGAAAAAATTTCAAATATTTTATAAGACTCGTGACTAACTCTTGTTAACTCCCACTGTTTTTTTCCCAAGTTAACATTTGTTTTTAATAGGTATTTTATTAGGGCAGTATGTCCAACATGTCACCAGTAAAAAAAATAAAAATAAACTTTTAAATGGCCAACCTTGGTTACTAAATGATATCTTAGATAACTACTGAGATATAAATTAAAGAGATACTTAGAACCCCTGGGAAAGCAAATGGGCAGTAACTCATTGGCAGTATTGGCGATGTTTTTCTTTATTCAGAGCTGCTTTCTTGCTTCCTTTCACTTGGTTGCTTCTGGACAGTTAGGGCTCCGCTTGGCGATACGAAAAGCTATCTTTCCAATTTCTTCTTTCCTTGTCTTCACAATGAAAGCTCCTTGGAATCCCCTTGATCAATATTGATTAATATATCAGACTATTTTTTTTACTACCATTAGGAATTAGAAAGCCACAAAATAATTGGCAGGTTTTCATCCTGTTACCTGATTTTACTTTTTGATTTGTCCTCATTTAAACCAGGTGGCAACTATGACAGTCACTTTGACGTGGACAAGGGTACCGGAACCATCATTGTTGCCAAACCTCTTGATGCAGAACAGAAATCAAGCTATAACCTCACAGTCGAGGCTACAGATGGAACCAGCACTATCCTTACTCAGGTCAGTGAATTATGAGGCGTGTGTTTGGCAGAGGAGGGTTCACAGAACATTCTGATCTCAGGGTCTGCAGGCCACATGAACAGTGAATTCTGCCACCTGAGGTTCCCGGATCCGAAGTTACTATGTTGATACAGCTAACACCTATGCACACCAAGGACTTTCATTTAGGGAAGGAAAATTAACTGCACATCTCGATTTAGGTTTTGCATGTAATTAACCAGTTCTGAAATTTTTGTAAGACTTAAGAAAACCACATGGTTATGTCATCAAGACCTTTTCCTATTTCACTCCTTTTCATCTGCATTAGTATAAAGTGTATCCCTGCTGAGGATGAATTGTCCAAGTCATTTGCATTGAAGTTGGTTAAGTCTTGGCTGCCTTAGGTAGGGCCTTGTAAAATAACTGATAATGTTGTTCTCATAATTCCTTTAACATCTTTATTTGTTCCTGATGATTAAGAGACTGCCAGATACTGGGATTTCAAACTTAAATCTTAAAACCCTGTAAATTACATTTAAATTCCGTTCTATTAATTATCCTTGAGTCTCAGTGTGGGTTGTTTTGAGAATTTGTTGAACACTAGCTATGGGCCAGGCATCGTTCTAGAAGCTGAATGCAGGAAGCAAAAGCTTGCCTCCCTGGAGCTTGAAGTAGGTGCAAGCCGGAGGCCGTGCAAGCCGGAGGCCGGTGGAGGCCCGAGGCCATGCAAGCCACAGGCCGTGCAAGCCGGAGGCCTGTGCAAGCTGGAGGCCGTGCAAGCCGGAGGCCGGTGGAGGCCCGAGGCCATGCAAGCCGGAGGCCATGCAAGCCGCAGGCCGTGCAAGCCGGAGGCCGTGCAAGCCCGAGGCCAGTGCAAGCCGCAGGCCGTGCAAACCGGAGGCCGGTGCAAGCCGGAGGCCGTGCAAGCCGCAGGCCGTGCAAGCCGGAGGCCGGAGGCTGCCTGCCGAGAAGCAAAAGGAAGAAGTTACGTGTTAGAAGATAGAATGCTTCTGAAGCCCCAACTTTCTGGCTTCAGTCACACTGTTTTAAATCTTACATGGGGTAGATAGATCATCTGCTTAATCAGGTAGTTGCACTGAAGAATAAAAATTATAGTCTGTGATGGCTTTTCAATTAAAAACGAGTAGATCATTTAAAACCAATTATGAAAAGGTTTTATCCCTTTTTCCAAATGTTTGTGATCTTTTAAAGATCTTAAAATGGATATAGGTACCATGCCTTGGCTTTATTTTGGGTTCGTCATATAAAAGTTCTAGTACAGCCCTGGCCAGTTTGGCTCAGCGGTTAGAGCGTCGGCCTGCGGTCCGGAGAGACCTGGGTTCGGTTTCCGCTAAGGGCACGTACTTCGGTTGCAGTTTGTCCCCGGCCCTGGTTGGTCGTGCGGGTGACAGCCACTCGATGTGTCCCTTTCACATTGATGTTTCTCTCTCTCTCTCTCCCTTCCTCCTACTCTATCTGTACAAAAAATGGAAAAATGTCCTCGGGTGAGGATAAAAAAAAAAAAAAAGTTCTAGTACAGCCCTGGCCAGTTTGGCTCAGCTATTGGAGCATTGGCCTGCGGACCAGAGAGCCCCGGGTTCAGTTCCTGCTGGGGCACATACCAAGAAAAAAAAAAGTTCTAGTACAGTATTACATTTTCAGTTTTGTTGGTGATCATTCTCATTGTAGAAGTTAGACTATAGGGTGTGAAAAAGAGAATGGTACAACATCAAGAATTATAATGAATTTAACAGGACAGATCTGAAAGGTTTAAAGATTATAGCAGTGTGTAGACTGGTTCGAGTAATCAGTTAACCAGAAATTTAGCAAAAGGAACTTAATAAGCAATAGAAATGACCCTCTGTGCCAAGCATTCTCATTAACAAAGATTATATATATGTCCCTGTAGTATTTATCACTTATACTACATCAGCGAGTGGTTAGTAATGCCTCCCCCCTCCCCATTCCCAGTAATTGTAGTTTTAGTCCAGTTAACAGCTTGGTATGAAATATGGTGTTGATTGACTAGAATTCCTGTAAAATCCAGGAACACAGAGTATCTTAAGCTCAATGCTTCTTTTAAACTTCTATAACTGATTTTGAATCTTTTAAGAGAGGGCCCTATCCCAGTGAATAGCTGGTCAGAATGCTGGAGGATGGCGACCGAGCCTGGGCTGACCTGTTAAGGTGCAGGGCAAAGGGCACAGTCAGTGCATGGGCTTGGATTTCCATCTGGGTCTGAGAGTGGGGAGCTGGCGGTCGGGTTAGGAGCGGAGTAGCAGGTGGCACCTGCGGAGGGACACGGGTCACACCTGTGAAGGGTCACGGGTCACATCTGCGGAGGGGCACGGGTAACACCTGTGGAGGGTCACGGGTCACACCTGCGGAGGGGCACGGGTCACACTGGGGTGATAGGCACTGGAGCTCGAAAGGGAGAGTCCAGTCTGTAGGCACAGCTCAGGAACCAGCAGAGCAGGTTTGCTACACCGGGTCAGTGGCAGCAGGTGTTAGATTGGAGGATTGCAGAGCTTGTCAGGCTGCGCCAGGGTGTGTCCTCCCCTGAGGGGCAGTGGGCACCAGTGTCTGCTGAAACCACTCTCCTGGCTTTTCTGTCCTGCTCTTTTCTGCTTAGGATGCTGACCGATGTTAATTCAAGTAACTTTGCTTTATCTGGTACCTCAACGTAACTTACCAAACCCAGTTCCCATTTTTTCCTCTTTGGAACAGCTTTGCTTTCACGGTTCCATTCTGTTTCTCTGGAGCGTCAGCCCTGCACCCTCCGGAGCAGGCATTGGCTCGGAGCTCAGCTCTGCCTCTTGCTCCGTGGGCAAGTGGCTCTGTCCACCGTGTGTGCCCATCTGTCGTCTGAGTTCTTGTGCGGGTTGAGTGAGATGACATGGGGGCTTGCTCTTACAGCCCGCAGACCCTGTCACCAGTCAGCGCTCACCAAGTGTTCCTGTTGCACATGAGCACTGGTGCGGGCTCTGGTCCCCCACTGACACTTGCATCACCTCTCTGTCTCCATTCTGTGTCTCTGCAATTCATCTTGTACCCTCTGCTACCTCCGTGGTCTGACCGACGGGGAGGAAGGGTAAAGGTGAATTTCGTCTCATCAGAAGGTTCCGGGCACACAGGACACGAAACCCTCCAGCCTCTCCAGGAGGCAGGCTCCGCATGCTCGCCCCCGCCTTCTCCCTGCGTGTTCACGTGTTGTCCCAATTCCAGGTCCTTCTCCTCAATCTCTAAGAGTTAGGGGGTCTGTTCCACCTCTGGCCTTCAGCTCTGTGCCTGAGCTCTTCCTCCTACCCCAACACATTACCATTCATCTACCAACCCCAGTCCTATACAAGCAAAGCTTTATTTCCTCCTGAACAGCTTTCTGAACGCCCCAGCCTGGGTCTGGACTCTTTCTACTTGACGGCGTGAAGCCACGTTAGACTTCGTATGTACAACACTTTGCCCACAAGGTTGAAGGCTTCACGAGGACAGGGGCAGTCACATTTATTTTACACAATCAGTGCTGAGCATGTAAGTGGCCAGTAAATATTTCCCTCCAATGACCTTATCAGAAATGGCTGTTTTTACTTTAGCTCGTCCTGGTGACTTGTGGTTAGTGGATCTTGGAACAAGAGAGAACTGTTTCTGCTTACACTCCACGAGAAAAATACTTGTTAAATTTATACTGGAAATAAATGCATAATGATTTAATTTATAGACGTCACCTGTGTAGTCATCCCTTCTGGACCCTCACTGACATTGAGAGAGAGACAGCGGCAGGGTTAAATATTTACGTAACTTTCACAGAACCTTTCTGTGCTTCGCTGGCTGCATTTCGCTTTCCTACGAAGTTGGCTGTCCCGACCCGTCCCTGGTGTGAGTGTTCTGTGAGGAGCCCGGCGCGTCTTCTTGCAAAGGCCTCTAGCTCACACACACCTACGGTGTGGTCAAGAGCTCCAGCTCCGCGTTCCCGTGACTTTGGCCTCTTGCCATCTGGACCAGCGAACTCCTTGCTCCGTGTGCCAGTCCTAGCCGGGAGCCCTCGTGTGTGGTGGGCAGGGATTTCCGCGGGCCTTATCCACGCACACCTCTCAGTCTGAAAATTAATCCTCCTGTCCGGGAAGAGCCTTTTCCTGGGGCCTGAGCCTTTCACATCAGCATTTTCCCTCAAGGTTACTCTATGTTGACATATTAACAGTTTATCTTTTCATTGTACTTAAATTGCTTTTAGGAAATAAGTGTGTTGACTATTTATACGTAGGTTTTATAATAAAACTATAAGAATTTTAAAGCACAGTTCTAATTTTTTAAAATAAATATAAAAAGAACTGTGTCAATAGGAATTTGGAGTCCCAGAGATTAGAACAAGAAATGTAGAGACTGTGGTAGTCTAGTAGATCCTCACCTCAATAGCGTAATAGTTACAGATTCAGGCTGATACGTGAAATTAGCCTCCGGTAAATCCTGGTCAAGTAAGTTATCTGTTAGCGTTACGAGTCATCTAGAAATATCTCTTCTGCATTTCACAAAGAAATGTGTGAGAGGTGCTACATTCTCCAAAGTTAATCTCAAGAATTTAGAAAGGTCCTTGTTACCGTGTCCATTTAGATTTAGAGAGGTAATATATTCATGAAAAATGTAAAGATATTTTAGCCCTGGCCGGTTTGGCTCAGCAGTTAGAGCGACGGCCTGCGGTTCAGAGAGACCCGGGTTCGGATCCTGCTAAGGGCATGTACCTCGGTTGCAGTTTGTCCCCGGCCCTGGTTGGGTCGTGTGGGTGGCAACCACTCTATGTGTCCCTTTCATGTCGGTGTTTCTCTCTCTCTCTCTCTTCTTCTCTCTCCCTCCCACTCCTTGTGAACAAAAAATGAAAAAATGTCCTCGGGTGAGGATAAAAAAAAATAGCAAAGATATTTTAAATCTAGATTTTCGGTGCTTTTCTCATGTGTATTTCATTTTGCTAAAGAATCTATATTTTTCAGTGTGCATCTGACTTTTCCATGATTATTTATTGAAATACCATAATTAGGAATATTGTTATGTGAGTCATTTTGTCATTACAGGTATTCATCAAAGTAATAGACACCAATGACCATCGTCCTCAGTTTTCTACATCAAAGTATGAAGTCATTATTCCTGAGGACACAGTTCCAGAAACAGAAATTTTGCAAATCAGTGCGGTGGATAAGGATGAAAAAAACAAACTAATCTACACCCTGCAGAGTAGTGTCGATCCACTGAGTCTCAAGAAATTTCGTCTCGATCCTGCAACCGGCTCTCTCTACACTTCTGAGACCCTCGATCACGAAGCCACTCACCAGCACGTTCTCACAGTCATGGTACGGCGCCTGCTCCTCCTGCTGACTGGGTTTCTGAAGGGTTTTGTGCATTGGACAGTGACTTTAAATCAGGAAGAAAACTCCACCGGGATTGATGGTGTGTTGATTCTTTCAGGTACGAGATCAGGATGTCCCTGTAAAGCGCAACTTCGCGAGGATCGTTGTGAATGTCAGCGACACGAATGACCATGCCCCCTGGTTCACAAGTTCCTCCTATGAAGGACGGGTTTACGAATCGGCAGCGGTCGGCTCAGTGGTGTTGCAGGTCACAGCGCTGGACAAGGACAAAGGGAGAAATGCTGAAGTGCTGTACTCGATCGAATCAGGTATTTGGGGAGCACTCAGTGGGCTTCTACCTTTGTACTTGTTAAAAAGTATGTTCTTTTCTAAAATTAGTTCTGGGCGTTACAACATTTCTGTGTATCACTGTAAAACTGGCTTCTATGGACCCTTACATGTTAGGAGAAAGGAGAAACCTTTTTTTTTTAATGTTTTAACTTCAGGAAGCTGGGATAAGGAGTTCTAACTAAGTTAGGGTCGGGTTCTTGGAGCCCCACAATATTAGCATAGTTCCGGCCTGAGAAATCCTGCCATAAAGAAAGCTTCATTCCATCAGTTTGATATTTTAAGCTTGTTTTAGCCCCACAATCATTTCCTTCTGAGGCTAGGCAATGCTCTTAGGACAGTGCTGGTCTGTGAACATGAGAGTGTCTTCTCTTGGGCAGAGCAGGACGTTGCATGACGGAGTCGGACTCCTAGTTCGCACTGAGGCCGAGCTCGGAGAGGGCTGTGGCTGCTGCCGGTGCCCCGTGCCGTTTGAACAGTTCCATGTCATTCGTGGGTGGTTGCAGTAGGTCCTAGGGGTGGGATTTGGACTCAGAAATGTTGAAAACTTTAAGGGGCTGGAGCTGGGCCAGAGGCAACAAGGGCAGGGAGGCAGCTGGAAGTGTGGCCAGTTCTAGGGATGATAAGGCTGGAGATCAGAGTCTTGCTGGGGGTCATTAGAAGGAGGTTCACCAAGAAGCACTTGTGGCGGAGCAGAATGTTTTTGTTCTCGGTTCTGTTTTATGCTGCTGTTCAGTCATTCATTTATTCATCTTACGGACTCATGAAGTTCATTTTATGTGCCAGGTGTCATGCTAGGCACATTCACACTTGAACTTGATAGATGCAAGTGTTACCATGGGTCCACATGTGTATGTCCTTGCAAGTGTTACCATGGGTCCACGCGTGTATGTTCTTGCAAGTGTTACCATGGGTCCACGTGTGTATGTTCTTGCAAGTGTTACCATGGGTCCACGCGTGTATGTTCTTGCAAGTGTTACCATGGGTCCACGCATGTATGTTCTTGCAAGTGTTACCATGGGTCCACGCGTGTATGTTCTTGCAAGTGTTACCATGGGTCCACGCATGTATGTTCTTGCAAGTGTTACCATGGGTCCACGCGTGTATGTTCTTGCAGAAGAGATCTGCCCTTGCTTGAAACGGGTCGGTCTGCTTTAGAGCATATGATTTGTGCAGTCAGAAATGACCTTGCTTTGGGATTCATGCCAAATAGTACAAGTAAGTGGTTAAATATTAAGAAGGCAACTTTATTTTTCCATCTTTCTCAGTGTCATTGTTAGTGCAGTGTCATTGTTGTGTTTTTCTAATGATTTTAGAGTATTGAGATCACCCACTTCACTTGTTTTTGTAAGTCCACACCTTTACATATTTAGAAATTGTATCCAGCATAAGCATTAGAGACGGAAGAGGTATAAATTAGCTATAGTTCATTTCATCAAAAGCCAAGCAAATGGAGAGTAATTTTTAAAAAACAACTTAGTTGATGTTATAAGTGGTTAAACTATTTTTATTTATGCATATATTTGAAGTTTCATTTATTTTTCTGAAAAGTGACCTGGTTGTGTCTATTATTCACAAATAAGACCTCACGTACTGCCCACGGTTGCAGCGTAACAATGTGTTTTAGTGTAGTTAGGCGTTGCCTGCAGATGAAGGTTTCCCACCGGTTCAGAAGTTTAGCCATTAAGCAAACAGTGCATTCCGTCTGTGCATGCCTGAGCACTCCAATAAAATAACTTTCTCAGAGACAAACTGGCTGGGTCTGTGTAGGAGAGAATGTAAAACTTTCCCTTAGCTTTCACATAATTTTCAACAACTGGGTGGTTAAAATATGATTGTCGGTGCCTGGCTGAAGGCATGTACATTCCTTAAGTGCTTGTAATGACTGATGGAATTAGTAATTTGGTATCCCAAGAATGGAACTGTATCTCCACTCAGAGAATACATAATACCAAGGGTCTATTCTGACATAGAGCTTGGATTTTTCAGAAGATATGTTTTTTCGATTTGGTAATATAAAAATTCTGCTCCGTAATTACTTTGCAGGAAACGACTCCCTTTCAATGCTGTAGAATTAGGTGTGTGTGAAGCTGTTAGAAGCAGGAGCTATAAAATGGTCATGCAGCCTTACTTACAGTTTATTCATAATCACCTGCTTCTAATTTCTGCCAGATTATATTTCATAAAGTTCAAAAGATTAGTTATGAAGTCAGGCCATAACACTGCATGTTTAATTAGCAGCAATTTATTGAGCAAAAGGTTGGGTCTGATTAGGAGTCTTTAGGGGAAAAGGAATTAAATGATTTTTTTTTTTTTTTTTTAATCCTCGACATTTTTCCATTTTTTGTTCAGATACAGTGGGAGGGAAGGAGAGAGAGAGAGAGAGAAACATCGATATGAAAGGGACACATTGAGTGGCTGTCTCCCACGCAACCCCAACCAGGGCTGGGGACAAACTGCAACCGAGGTACGTGCCCTTAGCGGGAACCAAACCCGGGTCTCTCTGGACCGCAGGCCAACGCTCCAACCGCTGAGCCAAACCAGCCAGGGCAATTAAAGGATATTTTCAATAACAATCGAGTTATCTGCTTGAAGACATATTGACTGCATATTCTGGGCAGCATGATGTTCTCTTTATTTTTTTTTAAAGTAAATTATTGTAACTTCAAAACCGTTGTAACACCTGGAAATTAGAAGACAATCAATATGCTCGTTGATGGGAATTGGTTTTCGTCCCCAAACTTAGCTTAAATGTGATTGCGCTTGAAGCTTTATAGGTTGCCGTACCGACAGGCAGTCAGCATCCACAGCATGTCCACCGTGGGAAGACAGTTTCCTGTGCACAGCTCTCTGACGTGCCCTGTGGCTGTCGTGTGTAACACTGTCGTATCTGATGAGCACACACGTGCACGTTTGTCCAGATGATGGCCTTGTTCCACTGGAAAAACAGACCCGTTTAAGCTGTTTAGAAATCATCCGTCTCTCCAGCTAAGGAGACTAAGCCCCAGCCGAGTACAGACTTCTCCCACTCCCTGCGAATTCGCTCACAAGAGCCGTGCGTGCATTTCAGCATTGGGTGAGCGCGCCTGTTTCGGGGCCAGGCGGGCGTGTTCAAGCCATTGGGCAGTCCTCCCTGTTTTTCCACATACACACCACGTTGCTGTCCCTTCTGCAGATCTCGGGCTTTCTGCCATGGGTTCTGCCATGTGGGATCCATGCATTAATTGACTAGCTGGGTTCCTGTTCACCTTCTTGTCATCAGCGCCAGGGTCCGCGCTGTCTTTATCCTCTAGGCACTGGGAATGGATGCCTTGCAGGTTTGAGTGTTAAGATTTCACTGTCCGTGGTAAGAGAGAGATGCACATGGGTGAATTGATATACAATACGGTAGGTAAGCTGCCTTTTTCAGGACAGACAGAGGGAAGTCCAGGGGACGGGGATGAAGACAGTTATCCGAAGGTTTTCGCAGTCTCCTCCGTGGTCCAGGCAGCCCGGCAGGTTTGGAAGGTGGGCTGATGCACAGGTAGGATGAGGAAGGACCTTCATGGCTGAGAGAGAATCTGGGATCGTTGACTCACAGGCAGGCCAGAGGCAGGGTCTGCAAGGCCCGGCAGAGGCAGCACGACCCTGTTCACAGGCCAGGGCCTAGCTCAGAGCCTCGGAGCCCGCAGAAAGCCCGGGCCTCTGCTGCCCTGTTGCCGACTGAGGCACGGCCGTGGGATCTGGATGCGCAGCCAGGCTTAATGAAAACCAGACTGGCTCTGGCCTCAGAGAAATTACCGTGGGTTTTTGGAAAATGTGTCGAGGGAAGGAAACGAGGGCTGTGGAGGATGTGCTTCCCAGTGATGATGTGGAGAAGGACGTGCTTGGTTGATCCCCTGGTTTGCCCATCACACTGAGTGACGCCGTTCTGGGAAGCGCCACGCTCGATTGCAAACCTAGAGAACGATTTGAGAGAGCAGCTCAGCGACAAGCCAGGCTTGTTGTAGGCAAGTGCAGTTGTTCATTCGGAAAAAGTAGATTTAGTTCTGTGTCTAGGAAAATGGACTTGGACTCCTGTTTATAAAACAGAAAAGGGATGATGGATTCGTGGATGGGTCGAACCCTCACACTGCCTTGATCTATTCAAAAAGACAGTTAACTGCTAGACCACAGTTAACTGCCGGTGTTCGTCAGAAAGACTTCCGTGGATGGTGCACAACAGTGGAGCACCGTGGAGTCGCATTTGCGGCCGAGAATATGTGCACAGTGCGGTGGGAATGGCCAGTGAAAAGCCACTGGAAAGACTGTGCTGCAGGAGTTTCTCAGCCCGAGCCCTGCTGAGCTTGTGAGCCACTCTGCTGCGGGGACCGTCCTGTGGATTGCAGGGCGTCCGCAGCATCCCCGGTCCCTGCCCACCCCCCAAGGAGTGACCACCAATATGTGTCCAGACATTGTTGACTGTCCCCTTCCGGGCAGGACCCCCCCACTTGAGAACCACTGACCTAGACAATAAATTGACCTGAAAAAGATTAAGAAGAGAATATTGCTGAAATTTCACCTCAAAACCTATGAGTGGGACAAGTTATACACAAGCTTATTTATGAGGAATAATTCTCTTCAAATTTGTTACGTTTTCTTAATGAATTAAAGTCTTTCCTTTTGTGATAAATAAGAGCCTAGAGCATTTTCAAATGATAAATGCTAAGCGTATAAGTATGTTCCAAAGGGTTTCTGAGGCACTCAGAATGTGAAGCTCAGCTGCTCGCTGAGTCCTTCCATAGACGCTCCGGGTTCAGGCAAAGAGAGTGAGTTTGGTGTTAGATACAGACTGGTATTTCCTCTGTTTCTTGCTTTTCATAATTTATGGACCGAACTCTGAAAATTCTGCCTTATTTTAGGTGGCTAAAAATGAAGCAAACTCTATGCAAATGGTGGTAGTCCCCGAATTTCCTTTTTAATTTGAGAATATAATTTTTAAATTTGCTTCTTTATTTCCAAATACTACTTCTATTGATCTCTGTAGCTTTTTCTGACATCCTTTTTTTTTTTTTTCCCCTCCCAGGAAATATTGGAAATTCTTTTACAATTGATCCCATCATGGGCTCCATCAAAACTGCCAAAGAATTGGATCGAAGCAGCCAAGTGGAGTATGATTTAATGGTGAAAGCTACAGATAAAGGCAGGCCGCCACTGAGTGAGATAACTTCTGTGCGTGTCGTTGTCACAATTGCTGACAATGCGTCTCCCAAGTTTACATCTAAAGAATATTCTGTGGAAATCAGTGAAACCATCGGCGTCGGGAGTTTTGTCGGCATGGTCACAGCGCACAGTCAGTCCTCAGTGGTGTATGAAATAAAGCATGGGAATGTCGCTGATGCTTTCGATATCAACCCCCACTCTGGAAGTATCACCACTCAGAAAGCCCTGGATTTTGAAACGCTGCCCGTGTACACGGTGACCGTGCAAGGGACGAACATGGCTGGCTTGTCTACGAATACAACGGTTCTCGTGCACCTGCAGGATGAAAATGACAACTGGCCGGTGTTCGTGCAGGCAGAGTACACAGGGCTCATCAGCGAGTCGGCTTCCATCAACAGCGTGGTCCTGACCGACAAGAACGTCCCATTAGTGATCCGAGCAACCGATGCTGATAGAGAGTCGAATGCTTTGCTTGTTTATCACATTGTTGAACCATCTGTACACAAATATTTCGCCATTGATTCTAGCACTGGGGCTATCCATACAGTGCTGAGTTTGGACTACGAAGAAAGAAGCACTTTTCACTTTACTGTGCAGGTGCATGACATGGGAACCCCACGTTTATTTGCTGAATATGCAGCGAACGTGACTATACATGTGATTGACATCAATGACTGCCCTCCCGTGTTCTCCCAGTCGCTGTATGAAGCGTCTCTCTTGTTGCCCACATACAAAGGAGTGAAAGTCATCACAGTAAATGCAACAGATGCCGACTCAAGCGCCTTCTCACGGTTAATGTACTCCATCACGGAAGGCAACATCGGGGAGAAGTTTCTCATGGACTACAGGACTGGTTCCGTTACGGTGCAGAACACAACTCAGTTAAGAAGCCGCTACGAGTTAACCGTCCGCGCTTCTGATGGCAGATTTGCAAGCTTCTCCTCTGTGAAAATCAACGTGAAAGAAAGCAAAGAAAGTCAGCTCAAGTTCACCCAAGATTTCTACTCTGCGGTGGTGAAAGAGAACTCCACCGATGCCAGGACGTTAGCTGTCATCACGGCTGTTGGGAATCCCATCAATGAGCCTCTGTTCTATCACATCCTCAACCCGGATCGCAGGTTCAGAATAAGCCGCACGTCCGGCGTCCTGTCCACCACTGGCATACCCTTTGACCGTGAGCAGCAGGAGGCGTTTGACGTGGTCGTCGAGGTGACACAAGAACACAAGCCTGCAGCAGTGGCCCATGTCGTCGTGAAGGTCATCGTTGAAGACCAGAACGACAATGCGCCAGTGTTTGTCAACCTCCCTTACTATGCTGTTGTGAAGGTGGACACCATGGTGGGCCACACCATCCGCTCCGTGACTGCCGTGGACAGAGACAGTGGCAGAAACGGGCAGGTGCATTACTACCTCAAGGAGCATCACGAGCACTTCCAGATCGGACCCGCAGGTGACATCTCCCTGAAAAAGCAATTCGAGCCTGAAACCTTAAACAAACAGTATCTCGTCACAGTGGTTGCAAAAGATGGAGGGAACCCAGCCTTCTCGGCCGAGGTCATAGTGCCCATCACCGTGATGAATAAAGCCATGCCTGTGTTCGAAAAGCCTTTCTACAGCGCCGAGGTCCCGGAGAACATCCAGCTGCACAGCCCCGTGGTGCACGTCCAGGCCAGCAGCCCGGAGGGGCTGAAGGTGCTCTACGGCATCACCGAGGGCGACCCTTTCAGCCAGTTCACCATCGACTTCAACACCGGCGTGATCAATGTCGTCGCTCCCCTGGACTTCGAGTCCCACCCAGCGTATAAACTGAGCATACGGGCAACTGACTCCTTGACGGGCGCTCATGCCGACGTGTTTGTGGACATCGTGGTGGAAGACATCAACGATAACCCTCCCGTGTTCGCCCAGCCGTCTTACGCTGCCACGCTGTCTGAGGCATCCGTCATCGGCACGGCTGTGGTTCAGGTTCGGGCGACGGACTCCGACTCAGAACCGAACAGGGGCATCTCCTACCATCTGATTGGGAATCACAGCAAGAATCATGATCATTTTCACATCGATAGCAGCACTGGTCTCATTTCACTGGTCAGAACTTTGGATTATGAGCAGTCCCATCAGCACAAGATTTTTGTGAGGGCTATGGATGGTGGCATGCCCCCACTGAGCAGTGAGGTGATTGTCACCGTGGACGTCACTGACCTCAATGACAACCCGCCGCTCTTCGACCAGCAAGTGTACGAGGCCAAAATTAGCGAGCACGCCACGCATGGGCATTTTGTGACCTGCGTGAAAGCCCATGATGCGGACAGCTCAGATATAGACAAGCTGGAATATTCCATCCTGTCTGGCAATGATCATAAGAACTTTGTCATCGACGGTGAAACGGGGATCGTCACGCTCTCAAACCTCCGCCGGCACACCCTGAGGCCGTTCTACAGCCTCAACGTTTCCGTTTCGGACGGCGTGTTTCGAAGCTCGGCGCAGGTCCAGGTGACGGTGATTGGAGGCAATCTGCACAGCCCTGCCTTCCTGCAGAACGAGTACGAGGTGGAGCTGGCCGAAAACGCCCCCGTGCACACCCTGGTGGTGGAGGTCCAAGCAACCGACGGGGATGCTGGCATTTATGGCCACGTTACGTACCACATTGTGAACGACTTTGCCAAAGACAGATTTTACACAAATGAGAGAGGACAGGTCTTTACTTTGGAAAAACTAGATCGGGAAATCCCAGCGGAGAAAGTCATTGCCGTTCGTCTAATGGCGAAGGATGCTGGAGGGAAAGTTGCTTTCTGCACCATTAATGTCATCCTCACCGATGACAATGATAACGCCCCACAGTTCCGAGCAACCAGGTATGAAGTCAACATCGGGTCCAGTGCTCCCAAAGGGACACCTGTCATTAAAGTCCTCGCAAGTGACGCTGATGAGGGGTCCAATGCCGATGTCTCCTATGCCATTGAGGCCGACTCTGAAAGTGTCAAAGAGAATTTGGAGATCGACAAACTGTCTGGCATCATCACTACAAAGGAAAGCTTAATTGGCCTGGAGAACGAGTTGTTCACTTTCTTTGTGAGAGCTGTGGATCATGGGTCTCCACCTAAGGTGTCTGTCGTTCCCGTCTACGTTAAGATACTCCCCCCAGAAATTCAGCTTCCAAAATTTTCAGAACCGTTTTACACCTACACGGTTTCAGAAGACCTGCCGATTGGAACAGAGATCGATCTCATCCGAGCGGAACATAGCGGGATTGTTCTTTACAGCCTCGTCAAAGGGAACACCCCTGAAAGTAACAGGGATGAGGTCTTTGTGATCGACAGACAGAGCGGAAGGCTGAAACTGGAGAAGAGTCTTGACCACGAGACCACTAAGTGGTATCAGTTTTCCATACTAGCCAGGTGCCCTCAGGATGACCATGAGGTGGTGGCTTCCGTGGATGTTAGCGTCCAAGTGAAAGATGCAAATGACAACAGCCCCGTGTTGGAGTCTAACCCCTACGAAGCATTCGTCGTTGAAAACCAGCCAGGGGGAAGTCGGGTCATCCAGGTCAGGGCGTCCGATCTGGACTCGGGAACCAATGGCCAAATTATGTATAGTCTGGATCAGTCACAAAGTGTCGAAATCATAGAGTCCTTTGCTGTTAACATGGAAACGGGCTGGATTACAACCCTAAAGGAGCTTGACCATGAGAAGAGAGACAATTACCAGATTAAAGTGGTTGCCTCAGATCATGGTGAAAAGGTCCAGCTGTCCTCCACGGCTATTGTGCACGTTACTGTCACCGACGTCAACGACAGTCCCCCGAGATTCACGGCGGAGATTTACAAAGGGACTGTGAGCGAAGATGACCCCCCAGGCGGTGTGATTGCCATTTTAAGCACCACAGATGCTGATTCTGAAGAGATTAACAGACAGGTTACATATTACATAACAGGTAAAAAATGTCAACTAAATGGTTTCATTTAAAATTAAGCATATTCGAAGCATAAATCCTGACATACATATTTTATGTGAATTGGAAGATAAAGGGGTGACTTTAGTTAGATACCTGAAACGAGTCTCAGTAGCATCTATTAAGCTGCATTTCAACGTCTTTGCCTGAGCAAAGGAAACAGTTCGTTCGACGGCTTCTGTTTTCATGACTTATTCTTCTGTTGCACTTTATGCTTAGTGTATAGTAAGTGTATTATAATTAAAAAGAAAAGTTATAGTTTCCGTGTAGGCTAAAGCATTATTTAGTAGTCTTTATATTTTATTTGGCTTAATGTGTTTAAATACAGATTTTAATGGGAACGCTAATATAGCAAATTCAAATGTAATTGTTTTTTTGAAAATCACCTTAATTCTTTTAAACTGGAACGTTCTGTGCCTATTGTATAATTTATTTCTCCTGTTACTTATTTCTTTCTCTAACACACTTACCTCTTCCTGCGTTGATTTCATAGGGGGCGATCCTCTGGGGCAGTTCGCAGTTGAAAACATACAGAGTGAATGGAAGGTCTACGTGAAGAAGCCTCTGGATAGGGAACAAAGGGACAGCTACCTTCTGACCATCACCGCGGCCGATGGGACCTTTGCGTCGAAGGCCACCGTCGAGGTGAAAGTTCTTGACGCCAATGACAACAGCCCAGTCTGTGAAAAGGTAAACTACTCCTTCTTTAGATGTCCAGATTACGAATTCAGGTTTCTTTCTTTTTTCTTTATCGATTTTAGAGAGGGAGGCAGGGAGAGGGAGAGAGAGATGGAAACATCGATGAGAGAGAACATCAATTGGCCGCCTCCTGCACGCCCCACAACTGGGGATTGGGGCCCACAACCTGGGCATGTGCCTGACTGGGAATCGAACCGACAACCTCTCAGTACATGGGTCAATGCTCAGCCACTGAGTCACACCAGCCGGGCTCACATTGCTTCCTGGAATCTTCCGGTAGGACTGCTGTCAGTGGACTACTGAGGGCGAAGGAGGGGGCGTGTTGAGCAGGCGGGTGGCCACCGGGCTGTGACTGGCTCCGGATGGCGGTCTCAGCGTCAGGATGGCTTGAGGTTAGACAGTGAGCACTAGTGCGGAGGAAGGGGGGACAGGGGAGGAGGGTGTGGCGGGTGTGGGAAGGCTGGGTGGAGGGGAAGTGATTTGGAAGAGGGACCAGGGGTTGGAGAAGGCCACAGTGAGCATGAGACACTGGAGAGGAACCGAACTGTTCTCAGGAACGGGGGTTGAGGGGGCCTGGGGAGTGAGGAGGTCCAGTCCACGGGTGGACATTTGGTGATGGTCTTTTCCAGGGGTGAGGGTGGGGGTCATATATACTTATATCTTACAGAACTGAAATGTGTGTTCTGTTGTTTTTAAACATTTTCATATTATTTCAATGTAATATCCTATCAAATTTTGGAATAATAAAATTAGGACCCTAGGTCATTTGAAATCATCAGTGCTATAAAATACTCTGTTTCATGAGTCATAAAATGGAGTTCACCTAATTGAGTTCAAGTTAAGGAAATAAATTTAACAAAATCTTATCTGTCTTAGGTTTTGGTTTTGGGCATGGATTTCTAAATAGTTGGAACGGGAAACAGCCCGTCATGTAAGAGTCAGGTTGGAGGGGAGAGAGGTCAGAGCACGTAATGGAAGAGCCTGGCCGGAGCGGCACCCCCAGCGTGGCCCTGGGGCGTCTGGCTTGCTCCCGACAGGAAGGTCGTGTCTTTCTCGGCAGCGTGTACTCGGATCTGTGTTCAGAGCGACTGCAAACAGTACATTTCCGTAGTGGAACTCTAGCTAAGGTACGACAGGCACCTGGTCTCCCCAGCCGTTAGGTGAATGTGGAGCACTGCTGACATCTTCCCCTAAGAGTGTAAACGAAACATGCAGCCACGGGAGAGACACAAAGCAGTGTGTTCAGAACCCCGTGGGTGAGACGTCAGGTCAGACTGTCAGCGCGGAGCCGAGCACTGACTGTTCCATGGCTGCTCCTCGTTTTATAAGAAAAACGGTTTTGAAAGCTCCTTGGATTTTAGTGCTGGTCGTCTCCATGGCTTCTGTGGCCAAAGTTAAGTGATCGGTTGCGTGCACCCCCTTGGCAGTGTGTTGCTGTGCGGTGCTGTGTTAACAGTGTTGTTTCAACCTCGTAGACTTTGTACTCAGACACGATCCCAGAGGACACCTTTCCTGGGAAGCTGATCATGCAGGTCTCGGCTACGGACGCAGACATCCGTTCCAACGCCGAAATCACTTACACGCTCTTTGGTCCAGGAGCAGAAAAATTCAAATTGAATCCAGACACAGGTAATGATAGAGTGTGGGGCAAAAGTAACTGTGTTCCAACAAAATCGTGCACATGGGTGGCTTCAGGTCACTCAACAAAATTTAACATTTCATTTTGTTCTTGTAAAATGTATTCGGATGCTATAAATTATCATCTTTTAGAAATCTAAACAGCAATTTAATGTGTAAAATTTGGGGTAAGATAAAGTCAGCCACCAAAGATTAAGTTGTTTATGTCACTAAAAAAAACAAAAAAAAACACAAAAAAACATAACAGACTCAGAAGCTAAAGTATATTTCAAACTTTCACTTTAATTGTTTTATACGTAGCTTGTTTTCATAAATTTGTGACCGTAAATTTATAATGTCACATAGTCATTAAAGTAATTCATGGTATGTCACTCATCTTTAAATTGCTAAGATCGTTTTCCTCTTATTTGTATTTTGTTAAAATTGGAGTCAAGTAATAGTTTTTTATTAAGCTGTCTCCTACCAAAAACTAATTATGAACATATGAATTTAATATTATGAGTTATTTTAAAAACTTTAGATTTGGCAAATGAGGTAGCGATTTTGCTTTCGTGACACTCTGTACATGCAGGGGCCCTGGCGCCCAGATCTGTGGGCCTGGAAGAGCTCGCACCTGGCAGGGCCTGTGCACCGGGGCTCCCTGTACCCGCAGCTGCCGGCTCTGTCGTTGGTAAACTCCTCCAGAGGAAGGCTGTTGCTCAGGTTTTGTCATTGAAAAGAAAAGGGGAGCATGTGAGGTTTGGTATTGCAGTTCACATGCTACATTTCAAGTGCGACCATTTATGTTCGTTCCAGGTGAGCTGAAAACGTTAGCCCCCCTCGATCGCGAGGAGCAGGCAGTGTACAGCCTCCTAGTCAAGGCCACAGACGGCGGGGGACGGTTCTGTCAAGCTGACATCGTGCTCACCTTGGAAGATGTGAATGACAATGCGCCCGAGTTCTCCGCCGACCCTTACACCATCACCGTGTTCGAAAACACAGAGCCCGGGACGCCGCTGACCAGAGTGCAGGCCACAGATGCGGACGCAGGTACCGCCGGCGCGGCGCTTTGTCTTCGGGCTGCTCTGTTCAGTTCTTCTGCCTCGACGGTCTCGTCATCGTTGGGCTATTTCCATTCCGGAGCATTACAGATGGAATGAAATTGCTTTTAATGAGTATTTGCAGTCCAGAATCATGCCCCCTGAACTTGCTGTGGTCAGGTATCTGTGGTGTCGTGAAAATTCTGGGTAGTGACTGAAGGTGAATAAAAAACAGATTTTAAAAGAGCTGCTGGGATCCCTGGCAAGGTGGCTCCATTTGTGGGAGCATCGCCCCACACCCCAGAAAGGTTGCTGTCACACCACATACCTCGGTATCTGAAAGTTTACTTTTTTAAGATCATAGTCATAAGGATTTGAAAAGTAATGTGTGCTGGCATTTTTTCTTTTCTGTATGTATGCTACATGGCTTTTCAAAAACACAATTTCTTTAAATTCTTTGACATAAAACATTCTGACGCGAGGCCGTCTCTCCACAGGGTTGAATCGGAAGATAGCCTACTCTCTGATCCACTCCGCTGATGGGCAGTTCTCCATTAATGAATTATCGGGGATCATTCGGTTGGAGAAGCCTCTGGACAGAGAGCTGCAGGCCGTCTACCCCCTCACTGTGAAAGCTGTAGACCAGGGCTTGCCGAGGCAGTTGACAGCCACCGGCACTGTGGTTGTGTCCGTTTTGGACATAAACGACAACCCACCCGTGTTCGAATACCGTGAATATGGGGCCTCGGTGTCCGAGGACGTCGTTACTGGGACCGAAGTCCTCCAGGTGTATGCAGCCAGTCGGGACATCGAAGCCAATGCGGACATCACCTACTCCATCATCAGTGGAAACGAGCATGGGAAATTCAGCATAGATTCTAAAACAGGTAATTGACCACCGAACAGCAGATGCCGTTGATTTCGCCAAAAAGGGTGGATTGCTCAGCACTTTGACCTGATACAGAGTGACTGGTCATAAACTGTTAGGAGATAACTCTAGAAAGATAAAACTCACGTTTTCTTTGTCTAATTTTAAGTGGGATTGAAAGTGGTTTTAAAGACTTTAAACTGTGGTTCTACATAATAAAATGTGTTCTCAGTGTATTCATTATAACTATACTCAAATTAACTTTAAATAGAAAACTAAAGCACCGCATGCTAGTGATTTAGTAAAGACATTAAGATGCAATACATTAGTGAAGATAAAGACTGGGCGATAATAGAAGACCTTCTGCAGTGCCCCCCCCCCCAAGTAGAACTCCTGGGAAGAAGCTTCCCAAGTGAAACAGTAGTTTCCATCCCTTTGATGTTAGTTTCTATGGGGACAGCTGATAATTGTCCTCTGACTTTTTTATTATGCTAGTGATATGTAACAGTTGTAATACTGCGAATCCCACTGCCTGGATGACTGCCACCAAGGTCAGAAGTCATAGGAGCTGAGATTCTTGCTGCATAAATACTTTCCTAGTCTTGTTAACCTGTGGTCCAAATAGCTGTAAGTCTTAGAACATTGCACATAGTTGCTCCATTCAAACGGTATTTAATTCTGTCGTAACTACTTTAGATGAAGAGTGTTGGGGATGCTATTTTTAAATTTATTTTTAACATGTCATAAAACCTGCTTTCCGGGCCCTTTAAGAAGCAAGGACAATAAGGAGGTGAAAAGGACAGATGTTAAATGGTTGTTAAATCATAAAGGGATATTTTTTAATAATGAGACATAAAATCTAGAGATTTTAAAATAAGGATGCATACTTCTATAAAAGAAAAAGCATAAGAAGGAAGAGGAAACTGAAAGCCAAAGAGGAGGATTTTTATGCTTTTATTTTATTAGAGTGAAGTCTCTGATTAAGGAGAGATAAGAAATGTAGTCATTTTTGTAGCAAGGATGTTGATGGTACTGATTGGGAAAGCAATTTAAATGTCACAAAGACTCTCAGGAAAATAGTAATAAATAAGGATTGAGGATGGGCAAGTTCATACTTTTTCGTTGTCAAGAAATTAGAAAACACACATACACAGTAAGTAAACTTCAGAAGCGAACATTTACTTTATTTCCAGGCGTGTGTTTCGGTCACGAGAACGCGGTGGCATTTCCCAGTGCTGGGAGTAACTCTGTTTCTCCGCGCAGGGGCCATATTTATCATCGAGAGCCTGGATTACGAGAGCTCTCACGAGTACTACCTGACGGTGGAAGCCACCGATGGCGGCACGCCTTCGCTGAGTGACGTGGCGACTGTGAACGTGAATGTGACCGATGTCAACGACAACACCCCGCTGTTCAGCCAGGAGACCTACACAGCCGTGATCAGCGAAGACGCCGTCCTCGAGCAGCCCGTCGTTACGGTGTGTATTTTTTCCCTGCGGTTTTCTCCTGGATCCCCACGAGAGGTGTTTGTTTTAGTAAGACTGACCCAGCTTTTTGTGGTGGCTTCATTTGAAAAAATCTTGAAGATATGGAAATGTCTTTTGTTTGGCCACTTACTGACTCTATCGTAAGTAATTGCCTATAACAACCAGCTGTCGATGCCAGAAATGTGCTTAAAGATGTCTGTCCCTGCCTTCGCCAGCTCCTGAACAGGTGCCGTATTTTCTAGGTTCTGGCTGACGATGCTGATGGACCTTTAAACAGCCACATCCACTATTCAATTATAGATGGCAATCAGGGAAATCCATTCACAATTGACCCCGCCAGGGGAGAGGTGAAGGTGACCAGGCTCCTAGACCGGGAAACCGTAAGTGGAAAGTTTGCCTGACACTGTTCACAAGTGACCAGATCAGTCAATAGAAGCACCTTGTAGTCCCACCCACCGGCATGGTGGGAACTGACCAGCAGATCTAAATACTTGAAAAGCAGTCAGCATGGAAAGGCAGTAAAATATAAGAGATGTGCTTCACGCTCCCATAACGTGTAGATGATAAAAGTCTGTAGTCGGGAAGAAATTACTGCTGGCTCCAGTGGGTTGAGGCGCATCATGGAGCCAGAAGCTGGGTTTTAAATACTGGCAGACGTTTGGAAACCACGGGTATGAGAAGAGCGGCAGAACATACCCTGGGACTTAGCAGCGTCCAGCTCCTTCCGCCGCTCATTCCGGAGGGAGCGCCCAGCAGGATCTGCCCTGGAGAAGAAACCGCCGTCCCTGACCCTCTTTACTTCACATAGGGAGTCATGAAGGGGTCATCTCGGGAGGTGTAGAGAGTCGAGTGCAGTCCAGGTGTGGAATTGATGGGAGAGGGTGATGTGGAGGGTTCTGAGGTGTTGAAAATTAATAAGCACTTCAAAGGTGGGAACCGACTTAACGTCTGTCTGCTGGCTGAGGAGCATTCGGGAGGGGTGCCTGCCTTGTCGCTTGCAGCCTTAAATTCTTTTCTCATCATTTAAATTACTTCTCTGTCTTAATTTGTGTAAATAGATCCATACGTTTTTCAAGTTTGAGCACTTTAACAGGATGAGTACACACCTGAGAGGCATCAGAGGATCTAGTCGCTGTTGGTGTCCTCTGTTGAGCAGATAAAGTCCATTTGGGGCTACATTATTGGCAATGTGCTTGCTGTAGGTTAGTGAGGGGCCCACATGCAAATGAGGACAGGTATTCAGATCTGTCCTTCCAGGTTCTCAGGTGTCCATTTCTTTTTTTTTTTTTTAATCCTCACCCGAGGACATTTTTCCATTTTTTGTTCAGGTAGAGTGGGAGGGGGAGAGAGAGAGAGAGAGAGAAACATCGACGTGAAAGGGACACATCGAGTGGCTGCCACCCGCACAACCAACCAGGGCCGGGGACAAACTGCAACCGAGGTACATGCCCTTAGCGGGAACTGAACCCGGGTCTCCCAGGACCGCAGGCCGACGCTCTAACCGCTGAGCCAAACCGGCCAGGGCTCAGGTGTCCATTTCTGATTAAACCAGTTCTTGGGCCTTGTGGAGGGAGACATGCCATCTGTCTGTCTTATCCCCGAAAAGATTTCAGGTTACACGCTCACCGTTCAGGCGGCTGACAACGGCAGTCCACCCAGAGTCAACACCACCACAGTGAACATCGATGTGTCTGACGTCAACGACAATGCTCCCGTCTTCTCCAAGGGAAACTACAGTGTCATCATCCAGGTAATCTGGCGCCCGGAGGTTCACCGCACCCGGTCCTTTTGAAACGAGCTCTTTCATTGGCCTCGGTTATTTGTCTGAAGTGTCTTCCTTTTCCAAAGACTATGTTTAGAAAAATGAAATGAGTAAAATTAGAAGGGTCGTTATCGATGTTAAAAGGTGAAGATGCAGCCAAGCTCTTACCTCTTTTTTGTGCTTCGGTTTTAGCCTGATTCTTAATCTTCTGTCCCTGATGTCCCTCCTTCCCCTTCTTGACCTTCCTTCTCCCTCCACTCCTGCTGCAAACACCCCACCTCCCGTTTTCCTCCTCTTCCACTTCTCTTCTTCACCCCTCTCCCATGCCACAGCACCCTCTGCCCTCCAGCCCCTCGTCCCTCTTCACCCCTCCCCTTCTCCCCCTCTCCTCGACCTTCCTTTCAAATGACCCACGGTCAGGCTTTGCTTTCCATGTATTTCAGATGATAGAAAACTCGCGTGTGCCTCTTCCCATAAAGATCTGGTTTTGTTGAAAGTTACATGTGTTTGATTTTGCTTTTTATCCTGTGCAGGAAAATAAGCCTGTGGGTTTCAGTGTGCTGCAGCTGGTGGTCACAGACCAGGACTCGTCTCATAACGGTCCCCCTTTCTTCTTCACTATCGAGAGTGGGAATGATGACAACGCCTTTGAAGTGAACCAGCAAGGGGTCCTCCAGACGGCAGCTGCCCTGGAGCGGAAGGTGAAGGACCGCTACTTCCTGCGCGTTAAGGTACTGACGTCTCTCTCTCTGGTTTGATGGTGGGTTCTAGAGGAGAGCTGCTTTGGTGGTTGTTTTCTTGGACGTGAGCAGCTTACATTTCGTGAGAAAACAAAAACGGGTAGAATTGTGATCTTTTTTGTGTTTTGCCATGCCTTCTTTTTTATTGCACTGCACTTTGGGGGCTGCTTTTGAGTCATGCGGTTACTTTGCCATAGTTGTGGGTATGTTTCTATTGTGGGGAAATAAGGACCTGGTGGTCATATTTAAGAACTTGCACAGTGTGAATGCATCTTTTCTAAGACGTGGTCAACAGTGACATAGACAGTGGTGGTTTGTTTCTCTCCTCCTAGGTGGCCGATAACGGGAAGCCTCAGTTGTCGTCCTTGACCTACATTGACGTCATGGTCATCGAAGAGAGTATCTACCCTCCTGCAATTTTACCCCTGGAGATTTTCATTACGGCTTTCGGGGAGGAATACTCAGGCGGTGTCATTGGGAAGATCCACGCCACAGACCAAGACGTGTACGACACTCTGACCTACAGCCTCGATCCCCAGATGGACAACCTCTTCTCCGTTTCCAGCACGGGAGGCAAGCTCATTGCACACAAGAAGCTGGATCTGGGGCAGTACCTGCTCAACGTCAGCGTCACAGATGGGAGATTCACAACCGTGGCCGACATCACCGTGCACGTCCGACAGGTGACGCAGGAGATGTTGAACCACACCCTCGCCATCCGCTTCGCCAACCTCACGCCGGAAGAGTTTGTCGGCGACTTCTGGCGCAACTTCCAGCGCGCCTTGCGGAACGTCTTGGGGGTGCGGAGGAGTGACATCCAGATCGTGAGCTTGCAGCCCTCCGATCCCCTCCCCCACCTGGAGGTCTTACTCTTTATAGAGAAATCAGGTGGTGCCCCTGTGTCTTCAAGACAGCTTCTGCACAGGATCAATGCTTCCGTGACAGACATCGAGGAAATCATCGGTGTCAGGATACTGGATGTCTTCCAGAAGCTCTGTGCAGGGCTGGAGTGCCCGCGGAAATTCTGTGACGAAAAGGTGTCTTTGGATGAAAGTGTGATGTCAACACACAGCACGGCCAGGCTGAGCTTCGTGACTCCCCGCCACCGAAGGACAGCTGTGTGTCTCTGCAGAGGTAACACGCGTGAGTCTGTGAAAATAGGAGTACACGTGACGTCATGCAGTCTTTGACGGCTGCACATTCAAGATCGTGTTCTTGAAATCCCTATTAACAGCTCGCTCTCCTCCCCTCTGTTTTTTGAAGATGGGAAATGCCCACCTGTCAGTCGAGGCTGCGAGGACAGTCCGTGCCCCGAGGGATCAGAATGCATCGCTGATCCCAGGGAGGAGAAGTACACCTGTGTCTGTCCAGGTGGCAAGTTTGGTCAGTGCCCAGGTGAGAGTCCAGGCATGAGGCGTACTTTAACTTTAAAAAGTCACTTTCAGTGTGTTTTGTAAAATTATGTTTGTTATAACCTGTCAAACATAGAGATGAATAAAACATCACTAGTAAGTTTTCCTTCCTGTTATAAGTCACCTGCGTTAGTAGTTTGATGTGTTTCCTTCTTTACTTGTGTTCACGTAACAATGTAGTCCCATATGTACCGATTTATTGTCCTTCCTCTCTCACATCCTCTCTTTCTAAAACGGAAACTAAAAAGTTGTATCTCACACAGTCCTCTACCGCTTGCCTTTTCCTGCTTGACAGCCTGGTCTGGGCATCTTGCGAGGTGATGCGTGTAGCCTGACGCTAACCGTGCGGGGTTCCCTAGCAGGGCTGTGCCGCTGTTCTATCAGCGTTTTCCTGGTGTACCGAGACTCCGGTGCTCGAAACGTTTCCTTCTGCTGAAAGGAAAGAGCCCTTATGTGTGTACATCAAAGACTAACTGCATCTTTAATTTTTAAATATATGTTATGTTAGTTTCCCAAGCATTTAGACCAGTTCCTGTTTCTCCTGGTCCTGTGCGGCGGATTCAGTCTCCATTCTCTTGCCAATATTGAAGGTTTTCGGTTGAAAAGTAGAAACTCCCAAGCAGTGGGCATGAAATGATTATCTAGTTATTTCCTTTTGCATTTCTCTGGCTACTTGTGAAAGTTGTCTTTTCCTTTGTTCATTGCCTGTTGGTTTTCCTTCCGGCCTGTTCACGCTCTGTGCACGGTTGTCTGGGTATTTCGCCTGTCTCTTCCTCTCACACGCGCAGCTCTGGGTGTGCTATGGTGCAGCACTGTCTGCTCTGCTGTGTGTGGTGTGGTCTTCTGAGCTGTTTTAGTATCTCCTGTACTTTGAAATGTGATTTCTGTTAGGTCAGCTCTGCATAATTTTACATAACAGTTTCCACCTCTGGAGATTGATAATATTTTCATCATTTTGGAGAATCCAGACTGTTTTATATCTCCTTTCAGAAGGTTTCCCAAACTACCCTGAGGATACATAAATACTTTCCTACAGCGCCTTGTAATCATGTTACATTGAACATTTTCAGTTAGCCCGGTTGGGGCTGTGTGTGTTTCTCTCCCCCCTTTCTTCCCCCCTCTCTCCCTCCCGCTTTATCTGAAGGTAAATGCAAAAATGTCCTTGGGTGAGGATTAAAAAGAAAAAAAATGCTTCAACGTGGTTCTGATTCATTTTTTCCTCTCTGTGATTCACAGGGAGTTCATCTGTAACATTTACTGGGAACAGCTTTGTGAAATACCGTCTAAAGGAAAATGAAAACAAGTTGGAGATGAAGCTGACCATGAGGCTCAGAACGTATTCTGCTCATGCAGTTGTGATGTACGCGCGAGGGACCGACTACAGCATCTTGGAGGTTTGTTTCTGTGCCTCGGGTCATGGAACACTCTAAAAATGTTAATTTCACTTCATGTGCAGGTTGGCCATTTTTGAAAAAAATTAAGTAAAATGGTTGCATTCCTCATGTAAATAGTTCACTGATGCCTGTGCAGGTGCTCAGCTGTGAGATGGAGTCTTTTCGCTGTGCGGGAACTCCGATTTGCTCTGTTTGCCACAAACATTTTTAGGGACAAGTGACCGTTAACGTTTAGACTCTAAGTGAGATTGTAGCTCACAAATTTTGCAGAGAGCCAACGGAAGCTTGAAGTGATAATTATCTTGCCTGCCTTTTAACTTTTTTAAGCCTGATTCTCTTTTGACTTTGGACATTACTGGATGGTATTTTTGGTTCAGTTAATGGTTCCTTATTAGTCGCTTCCGTGATGCTTTCCGGACGTGCAGTTCGCACTTGAACTTTCTACCCCGAGGTCCGTCATATCTGACCAGTGAGCAGATGGCCTGTGGTCTGTAGTACTTATATGCACGGCTCTGCGAACTTCCTGCCTTCGGCGACCTGATGTATCTCCTTCGGGTTTTTGATCGGGGTCTGCAGTCAGGTTCTGTCAGAGTGATGGGAACCGTCACTGTTTCTGTCGTAGATCCATAACGGAAGACTGCAGTACAAGTTCGACTGTGGCAGCGGGCCTGGCATTGTGTCTGTTCAGAGCATCCAGGTCAACGACGGGCTGTGGCATGCCGTGTCTCTCGAAGTGAATGGCAACTACGCGAGGCTGGTTCTCGACCAAGTCCACACGGCGTCGGGCACAGCTCCGGGGACTCTGAAAACCCTAAACCTGGACAACCATGTGTTTTTCGGTGGCCACATCCGTCAGCAAGGCGCAAGGCATGGAAGAAGCCCCCAAGTTGGTAATGGCTTCAGGGGTTGTATGGACTCCATTTATCTGAACGGGCAGGAGCTCCCTTTAAATAACAAACCCAGAAGCTATGCGCACATTGAGGAGTCCGTGGACGTGTCTCCCGGGTGCTTGCTAATGGCCACGGAGGACTGCTCCAGTAATCCCTGCCAGAACGGAGGCATGTGCAGCCTGTCACCTGCCGGAGGTAGGCTTCATGGCGTCAGCAGTTTCTGCAGGTGACACCTGTGCACTTGGGAGGGCACCCCCGAGTGTGTGTTTTCCCCTTCATTCAGCCCTGTCGTCGGGGGTCCCAGCAGTGTTGAGTCCTGTGCTCCTGTAGGCCTGGAAGAGCACCAAGTACCACGGGCCAACCACAGCTGATGCTGAGCCTTTCTGCCAAACAGATACCGGCCCTGCAGGGTTTAGAACTGGTGCCCCTTGGTTCTTCTTTGTGCCCCTTTGCCCAGCGGCCCAGCGCAGAGGACTCCTGGTTTTGCTAAGTGTAGAAGGGAGTATTGGTTTCCCAGGAGGCTTCAGGCCCCTCCCGAAGCGCTGGCACACCTGCCTTGCGTCCCCAGCACTGGGGAGGACTCTGGCTTCTGCATCCTGGACCGTTTGTCCGCTGAGGAGTCGTAGAGCACCGTTATGAAAATGACAGTCGTGGTGCCCGATAAATAGAGCTTTGTGTAATGAATAGAGCAAAAATCAAAATTACCCTTCAATTAAGTGGGATTTCCAAGACCTGGTTTTCTGTTGTTGTCTTTAGAACGAGTCTGTGCATTCCAGAGGCAAAGAGTATCCCCACAGGTTATCCCCACAGAGGTACTCTGAACACAAGTGTGTATTGTGCTCCAGTCACATGTCCAAGGAGGCTGTCCTCGTGTCATCAGGGCTGGGACCGAGAGAGGCAGGGGGAGGAGGGCATGGAGACCACACGTGGCTTCTAAAGCTGTGGCCAGAGAACATCCCACGAGTGGACGTGGGTGCGGTGCAGTCCCTGTCCTCCCTGAAGACCGGTGGTCTCCGCGGTACCCGACCGGCACCGTCTTTTCAAAATGAAGAGTCTGACTTTTCTTTGGCTCCTTTATATAGATTCGCAGATCACCTTTCTTAACAGGATAATTTATGGTTTTCAAAGCTTTTCCGTTTATTACGATTTCATTTAATCCTTAAAAGTTTGTGAGCCGCAAATCAATTGAGAGGTTAAGCCCTAGGTGTTGGCAGCCCATGGGTCGCTCCGGTGAAGGACGGCCTCTCCCTGTTCTGCGTGCTGGGCGCAGTGAGCTCACGCAGATGGTGATGAGTTAAAGCTACCGAGGTCTCTCTCCAGTGCTTTGCGTTCTGGTTATACCAGCAGTGGCTTGTGGGTACAGACAGCTTTTTTATCTGGACGGAGTGGGAATCTTCCTAGCTTTCAGGTCTTAGAGAATGAAATCTTCACCTGAACGTGAAAGTAAAAACCAATTGCCTAAGACTTATACTTTGAGTTATTGAGTGATAGGACTTTTTGTTCCCTTTTGCTAATTTAGGTTATTACTGCAAATGCAATGCCTTATACGTAGGGACATACTGTGAGGTGAGCGTCAACCCGTGTTCCTCCAATCCCTGCCTTTACGGAGGCACCTGCCTCGTGGACAGTGGAGACTTCGTTTGCCAGTGTAGAGGGCTGTACACTGGCCAGAGGTATGTATCGTTTTCTTTCTTTTATAATGAATTATGGTATTTGACGTTTTTAAAGGTAATCTTGTATGTAGAACATCTATATTCATCGTGAATGTTTTCTGTGATTCATCGTGAATGTTTTCTGTGTTGCTGTGTGTACTGCAGTAGCAGTATTAGGTTGATGCCTCTTCCTTATTCCCAGGTGCCAGCTGAGTCCGTACTGCAAGGACGAACCCTGCAAAAACGGTGGGACGTGCTTTGACAGCCTGGACGGTGCCGTGTGTCAGTGTGATTCCGGTTTCAGGGGAGAAAGGTAGCTGGCTTCTTTCATGACTTTATGTCCACCTCTGTAATGCCACGGGGATAAACAGATGCAACGGAACGTCAGTAATTTGGACAACGTGGCTTCAGGATTTGATAATCCTCATATTAGCTCCTCATACAAATTTTCTTTTTGCTCTTTAAAATAAAAAAAAATAAAAAAAGAGCAGATGGATAAATATTATAATGCTTGAAAAAAACCTACTTCTGTACTTTCAAGATACTTTGTGTGAACAAAGACTCTGTGGGTTTTGCAGGAAACAAATGTTTGTGAATGAGTGAGATGATGATGTTTTTTTAAAGCGCACACCTATGGTCTGCTGTCTTTGACATTGACGATAACATTTTGTTCATGATGTGCTGTAACTAACACTTCTATAGCATCTACAATCCTTTTCCAGTTCTCATTATCTTCTGTAACCCTTACCATATCCTAAGAAGTGATCATTATTTTGCAGGGCAGAAAAATGAGGCACTAAGGTGCCGGTGGTAGACCTCGAAAGAGTAGATTTTGTTCCAGATGCCATTCACCTTAGATTTTTTACCAGTTCAGTTTTGAAAAATAGCTCCATGGATGTTCTTCGTAAATGCCTAGTGCTGGGCATTTCGATGATCCCTGACGCTCAGCCTTGTTAGGAGGCCCTGTGGGACCGGCGTGTGGGTATTCCCACGTGGCTTTGCTCCAGCCTGGTTGTAGTCTTGAATTTTGCCACCAGTCTCATGGTCTTGGTTCATCAGTTGACTTTCCTAATTCTAACCCATTAGTACTTAATATAATGGACAAACATGTCTCAGTGATCAAAATGTTAATATCAGGTCAGTACGGGGGCAGTACGTGGAAACACGTTGAGGGGCAGGGGTTTGAGAAGTGTCTGGTAGACGCCCATGTGGAAAGGCAGAGGGAGGGGACTTGCCGGTGAACATTCTGTAAGGTGAGGAGCTGCGGGAGGATTTCCAGAGAGAAACAATTTAACATGGAAGACAGCGTCTTCTAGGGTCTCACAGACTTCGTGGAGCTGTCACAATTCCCTGTGGAAGATTTCCTTAGAAGTTTAGCCTCTTAGAGCAGTTTACAGCATACCATTCAGCAGAAAGCACATTATCCGTTTCTGGACCAGCCTTAGAAACAGCTGGCGTTCAGCCTGCCAGTGAGCCTATTGTTGAATCCTAGAAAAATGGCAGTTATAATTGGTTTGACCTCATGTTTATCTCCCAAATGCATCAAGTATGAAAACAAATGATTAATTACTCCACAGATTTCTTATAGTTATCATTGTGAATAGGGTGTTTTTGGTTATCTATTTGCTTTTGTTTTGAAATACGCTAAGAAGGGATTAGACTGGTCTTTTGTCTGTAAGAATTACAGGCCCAGCATCGTCCCAGGGACTGAGAGGTCCTGGTTTGATGCGCCGTCAGGGCACATGCCCGGGGTGCGGGCCCAGTCCCCGGAGGGGGCGTGCAGGAGGCAGCCAGTCGATGTTTCTCTCTCACAACATTGGTGTTTCTATGTCTTTCTCCCTTCCCCTCTTGCTAAAAAAAAAAAAATCAATAAAAACATTGAAAGAAACAAGGAGGAAGTACAGGGCTGACAGAGGTCCCTCCTCATGCTTGGTCTCTCGGCAGGTGTCAGAGCGACATCGACGAGTGTGCGGGGAGCCCGTGCCGGAACGGGGCCCAGTGCGAGAACACGCACGGCTCCTACCACTGCAACTGCAGCCGCCAGTTCCGAGGGAAGCACTGCGAGGACGCGGCCCCCAACCTGTACGTGTCCAGCCCCTGGAACATCGGGCTGGCCGAGGGGGTCGGCATCGTGGTCTTTGTCGTCGGGACTTTCCTGCTGGTGCTGGTGTTCGTGCTCTGCCGCAAGATGGTCGGCCGGAGGAGGCAGCCGCAGGCCACGCCGGAAGACAAGCACCTGGCGCCCACCACCGCCTTCATGCAGAGACCGTATTTTGACTCAAAACTAAATAAAAACATTTACTCAGACATACCACCCCAGGTGCCTGTCCGCCCTATCTCCTACACTCCAAGCATCCCAAGCGACTCCCGGAACAATCTGGACCGGAATTCCTTCGAAGGATCTGCGATCCCAGAGCACCCCGAGTTCAGCACCTTTAACCCAGAGTCTGTGCACGGACACCGGAAGGCAGTGGCCGTCTGCAGCGTCGCCCCGAACTTGCCGCCCCCGCCCCCGTCCAACTCTCCGTCTGACAGCGACTCCATCCAGAAGCCCAGCTGGGACTTCGACTACGACGGTGAGAACCCCGGTTCCCGCTCGGGGAACCTGGCTCAGATGAGCAGCGAGGTTGCGGGTTCTGCCGGAGCTGCTGGTCTTCGGAGTCCAAATGTGGAGTCTTTGTTAGTGATAAATATGCTCCGTAGACCTGGTGAAGATTTAAAAAGCTTTTCCCAATGCCTTGAGCCCTGGCTGAGCATTGTGGCTATGATAGTGGTTTTTTTTGTTGTTTTGTTTTTTTCTTTTTATCCTTACCTGAGGATATTTTTCCATTTTTTTGTACAGATAGAGTGGGAGGGAGAGAGAGAAAGGGAGAGAGAGAGAGAAACATCGACGTGAAGAGACACATCGAGTGGCTGCCACCCGCACGACCAACCAGGGCCGGGGACAAACTTGCAACCGAAGTACGTGCCCTTAGCGGGAACCGAACCCGGGTCTCTCCGGACCGCAGGCCGACGCTCTAACCGCTGAGCCAAACTGGCCAGGGCTATGATAGTGTTTTCATTATGGAATTGAATCGGGTCATGTTCCAGTTAATCTGGAAAGATCATTTTATTTCCGTAATTGATACAGGTTCTCAGCTATAATTTTGGGGGGCTTTTATGATTTTTTTTTTTTTTATCCTCACTCGAGGGTATTTTTCTGTTTATCTTCAGCTAGAGTGGGAGGGAGAGAGAGAGAAACATCAACATGAGAGGGACACATCAGTTGGTTGCCTCCCGCAACCGCGGTGAGTGCCCTTGGCCAGAATCAAACCCGCGACTCATTGGTCCGTGAGCTAACGCCCTAACTGCTGAGCCACAGCAGCCGGGCAGGGCTTTTATGATTTAAAAAGATCAGGAGGGCATTTGTGTCACAGGATTTATAAAAAAAAACCATGGCCAGAAAAAGTGGCAGAACAGAGGTGGGCAGAGCAGGTTACAGTTTGTATGGAAAACACCTGCAGGTCTGGTATTACAGCAGCCTGATTCATGCGGAAGAATGTCACACGGCTGTAAACATGCTTCTGCTCACCCCTCTGTATCAGTGGCCTAACATATATCTGATGCTTTAAATGAAAGCTCCGTGGCCCTGGCTGGTGTGAGGTTCGATTCCCTGCAGGGCACATAACCAGGTTGCAGATTCGACCCCTGGTCAGGGTGCTTATGGGAGGCAGTGGACCATGTTTCTCTCTCACATGATGTTTCTCTCCAATTCCCCCCCAAATCAATAAAAACATATCCTCGGGAGGAGGGTGCCAATGGGGTAAAAAAGGAGAAACATCTGTAACAAAAATAAAATTAAAATAAATAAATAAAGCTAAGAGAAAAAAAAAAATTAAAATTAAAAAAAAAAAAGCTTTATGTACCATTTTAAAACAAAATTTTCGTCCCCCGTGTTGTCTAATGAGATCCATGGCAGGTTTTTTGAGAATTTCTATTCTGTGAATCTGCAAGAATGCTGTAGGTTGTTTGGTTTGGATTTTCCGTGTTTTTTCCCCAGATGTTTCTTTCTTTTTACCGTTCTTTCACTAATGGATCTCAGACCGTCTTGGCAGGGCTGGCTGCGTGGGGTGCAGCGTGAACAGAACGCAGGCGTGCCCTCACGAGCTCCCGTGGGTCCTTTCTTTCCGCAGCCAAAGTCGTGGATCTTGATCCTTGTCTCTCGAAGAAGCCTCTGGAGGAGAAGCCCTCTCACCCCTACAGTGCCCGGGAGAGCCTGTCGGAGGTGCAGTCCCTCAGCTCCTTCCAGTCGGAGTCGTGCGACGACAATGGTGAGTGCGCAGGACCCGTGGCCGCTTGCCCGTTGCCCAGCGCTGACCCTCACGCCTCAGGTACCATCGTGGGAGCCCGCAGGGCCCTCGGGAAGGCTCGGCGTTTCCACGTGGCACTGGGCCCACTGTTAGCACCCACCACACACTTGCACGAGCACCTGCAGGGGAAGACGTGAAACGTTTGTCATGGGTTGGTATTTGAACGGGACAGAAATACAGCCAACCTGGTATTGACTTTCTTTCCCCAACAGAAAATGTTAGAAGTTTGGTGGGTTTGTAAAAAAACCCCTAATAACAACTTTCTTGAGCATGCAGCACCCCCTCCCTCGTTCGCTCCTCCCCCCCCCACCCTCTGAGAGTAGCGATGTTCTGCAGTGGGAACTTCAGTAGCACCTTCGGTGTTACAAGGATTTGTTTGTTTCTTCCCGATACCCTGCGGCCCTGCGCCCACTTGGATCAGAGCGCACTGACTGAGCACAGTGTAAGAGCTTCTAGCAGTTTGCTTATCTTTCTCCTGAAGGAAGTTTCACAGTGGTTCTGAGATGCAGGCGTGTGTATCTGATTTCCCCGGGTACCTTGCGTGGATGGCCAGCTTCACTGTGATAACACACACCAGTAGAGAAAATGGTCAATATTCAGTTGCACAATAGCGACTTTATAGTGGAAATTTTCAAATCCCAAAATTAGTACGGTTAACTGTACTTTTTTTTTTTTTGTACATAAAATGTAATGTGTTTACACATTTCAGATATTTTATTGGTGGAAAGAAGTAACCCACTAATAATTATTTGTTTCTAAATCCAGAGTGACATATAGCCTATAATATATTGCAAACTAAACTGTTCCAAACTAAGGATGACCATAGTATGTTTCATTCATTTCTGATTTCAAGCATGTTATGTATGATATCAAAGTATATCTGTGTTGACCTGGCTGGTTTGGCTCAGCAGTTAGAGCATCGGCCTGCGGTCCAGAGAGACCTGGGTTTGGTTCCCGCTAAGGGCACGTACCTCGGTTGCAGTTTGTCCCTGGCCCTGGTTGGGCCGTGCGGGTGGCAGCCACTCGATGTGTCCCTTTCACATCGATGTTTCTCTCTCTCTCTCTCTCTCTGCCTCCCACTCTATCTGAACAAAAAAACAAAAAAATGTCCTCAGGTGAGGATAAAAAAAAAAGCATATCTGTGTTTATTATTTAGTGATACAGTAGATGAACATAGCTTTGCTTATTAAACCAACCACAACAAGATAGAATTAATTTTTCATTATTTCTAATTCTGAAATGTTATAGCTGCCAGTTTATGTAATACTTTATATGTTGATCCCTAAATGCTCTTTGTAAATACATTTCAGTAGTTTCTAATTCTTTTCCTTGAAACATCTTTCTTTTTAACACTCCTAAATATGATCAAGATAGCTATAAAAATTAATTGCCAGATGATACAATGTGAGGGAGGAAAAAGTTATATCCAGGAGTTTGTATTTTAATCTTTATCACAATTTTTATCATTATCAGTTATAAATTTAAGTCTGTATTGAGTCTATACTTAAATTATCTTTCTAGTTTCCTAAGGCTGTTGTAACAGATGACCACAAACATAGTGGCACAAAACAGGGTACATTTATTTACCTTGCGGTTGAGGTCGAGAAGTCGAGCTCGGGGGGGCCACCTGTGGCTTCCTTTCTGGAGAGTGCAGGGGCGGCGTCCAGCCCCAGTGTCTGGAAGCTGCCCGCCCATGGCTCCTCCCTCTGCCTTGCAAACTCAAGGACACTGTGCCTCCCCGCGCCGCTGGGCAGCTCTGCACTGTGAGCACCCGCGTGAGCATATTGGGCTCACACTGATCGTTTGGGAAAATCTCCCCATCACAACATCTGGAGCATGATTGGATCAGCCAAGTCTCTCTTGCCGTGGATGGTAACATAGGCACAGGTTCCCAGGGTTGGGATGTGGACACCGAGAGCATCTTCTCCCTACCACACATACTCACTCATAAATGCTGTAAAACAATCTCATGTCCAGATGACATGAAATGTACATAGGACACAGCCAGGCAGACAGTCTGCCTTTGTCTGCTGGTGTGTTAGCTTACCAGCTGTTAACTTGTCTACAAAAAGACCAGAAATTTGGGCTGGGAGTACACAGAATGGAGACAACCCCCACCTTTGTATTTATATTGCATATTTTACCTTATTATGTTAAATTTCTTTTCCTGGAACAGTGTATGGGTTCATTAAAAGGACCTGGAAAATTGTCTTAGCAAATATCATATTCTTTGAATGTGAAGTCTTTCACCTGTGTGATGTTAAAATAGGGATTGTTTTGTCCTGACTTGATCCATAATCGTGAAAAAATTTACAGCTAAATAGTTTTTCCTAAATTATAATATGATATGGTTACTTTATTTCTTTGATGAATAGTAACAAATATATAGCTTGATTAGAAAACTCTGAGATAGCAAGCTAACAGGAAGAGAGCTGGCAGGAGTCATGCAGAATTATATGGTGTAGTTATGTTGAAGTATTCGTGTCACATTTTAAAACTACAAGGTGGAAATTACATAAAGACATCCTGTATTTAATGTGCTTATTATTAACAAATTGCAGATTGTCCTAATTTACTCCCTTTGTGCCTTTTTACAAGCTTCCATAGTGACTGTAATACACCTTGTCAGCGCCGTGGTTGACACGGTGACTAACGAAGGTACAGTCCTGATGCGTGTGCGTGTGTTCATGTCATAGTGACCGTCGCTTCAGTCATGTGCTTCCACCTCTTGCCGTGTTAGAAACCATCATTTGTGGTTTTGAGGGGGCTGGGGCTTTTGTTTTGTCCAGGTGTGTATATTCTCAGTCCAGATCCATTGCAGATACATCTTTGTGTTGTGTTTTGTCTTTTGGTTACCTTTTGTCATTTGTAGTGAATTTCCACATCAGAGGTGACCCAGAGGATCCTGACCACTTGCCTTTGTATGGTTAGAAGCTTAGAAATAATACTGACTACCTAAAAACAATTTTAATATAAAATATTCCTGTTCATGTGAATAGGAATCAGATAACACACAGCGTCTATACTTCCCTATAGCTGACTCTTCATTTTTGGATTTTCCCCATGCGTGAGCAAGGAAAATGGTTGAACATAGCAGAAGGTAGGTTTTCATGTATCTGTCCAAAATTATAATAAAGGGCATTAACCACCTCCCCTAAAATTATTTTAAGCTAGATCAGTCCTTTCTTAGTGTACCGAAGTTTGAGTAATCACGCGCATTGCACTGGCTGTAGTTTTTAAATCAGACCCCCTGGAGGGCCTGTCGAAAGCCCGCCTAAGGGCTGGGTCCAGCACCAGCATTTCAGATTGAGTGGGCCTGAGCTGGCCTCGAATTTGCATTTCTAACAAGTGCCCAGTTAACTCTGATGTTACTGGTCTAGGGTCACTTTGAGAACCAGAGGCATGGCCCACCAGGAGTACATAAGCTTAAGAGGACCTGCTTTCCTGGGACACGTCAGTTGTCAGGATTGAGGGAGAGGAAGGATGTTCTTTGCCACACTTGACAGTGTAGGGCAGGTGTGAGGTCTGAGTGGTGCTGATCACAGTACTGATGAGGCTTACACTTATTTTCCTGAGAAATAACGAGCTTTTGTTTGGTGAATCGGAAAATAACCTGGCCCTGGACGATTTGGCTCAGTAGTTAAAGTGTCACCCCATGGACCAAAAGGTCTTGGGTTTGATTCCCAGTCAAGGGCGTATAAGGGCATGGACCTGGGTTGCAGGTTTGATCCCCAGGGACCCCAGTCGGGGTCTTGTGGGAGGCAACCGATCAGTGTGTCTCTCTCACATTGATGTTTCTCTCTCTCTCCCTTCCTCCCTTGCACTCTATCTAAAAATCTATGGAAAAATATCCTCGGGTGAGGATTAACAAAAAATAAATAAAAAAGTAATCTGTGTTTTTTCCTAGTGAGTTTACATTTTAGCATGTTGAGATTCTGATATTTTTAATATTGATGGAGTTTAAAGAAGCAGAATTGAAATTTTTTTTTTCACTGCAACCTTCTTATTGGAAAATATTTTTTGGCATATTTAGAAATATAAATTGAATTTAAAATGGAAAGCTAGCTTAAATTTTAAGAATTATGGAGTGTCTGTTAACAAAGGTTGTGAATCCTCTTTATAAAAAGGCATTACTGCATTCTTAGTAGACTTTTGACAGAATTCTGTAGATACATGTCAACGAAATAGTGGCTTATTCACTTTTTAGGACCACCACATTCTTTTTTGTTTTTTATTTAAATTCCTAGAAGAGAACCATCAGTCAAATCTGATTTTTCCCAAATTCATTACATGGGTTTTCAAGAACATAGTAGAAGGCATAGAAAGCATTTAGAAAATCACTAAGGTAACCACCCCTCTACCATGATTACAACTTTCACAGTAATAAGAATCACGGTGGTAGCCGCAGTTAGAGCTGGACCTGCCTTATCGTAATCCTGGTAGTAACGCCAGAGGTTCCCCTCACTTCAAACCCAGGAGCCTGAGCTTCGGCTGGAGCACGCAGCCCGCCCTGGGTCTGTGATTTACAGCTGCTTTCTCTCCCACGCGGGGTTCTGAGAGTGGAGAGAGCAAGTGTAGTTACAGATCTGGGCGGCTTGAGCAGATGTAGCTAATGGTCCCTCCAAGGAAAGGTGAACAATGTTAATATAAAATCGTACTCACAGTGGGGGCAGGTTTAGATTTTCTTCCAGTTACTTATAGATACCTAAGTTCATTCGTGAATGGTTCTGACTTGAATATACATTTGAAGTGTATAATGTTTCTATTAAGTATTATGTAGCTTTATGTGTATTTGGGTCATCATCTAAGTAACTTGATGCTACCTGATATTAGACAAAAATGATTTCATAGTATTTTTGGTAACATGAAGGTATAATTTCAATTTTTTAATCGATCTTTTATTACAGCCTATATACTTTAATTATTCCTAATTTTTTTAATCAGTCTTTTATTGCAGCCTAACAAAATTCTGTACTTTCAGGTTTAGGTTGCCAGAAACAAGGAAAAGAAAGTAAAATAATGTTTGAGTATTTGGGCAAAGTTGGTAGTTCATCGTCGGTCATCTTTTTTTCTCCATTCTCATGTCCCATTATATTTGTGCTACATAAATTTCCCAGCCGTTTGGACTTTTCATAGCTAATGGCTTAAAGGCATGGTACATAGCTGAGGGGCCTTTATAAACAGTTTGCATTGTGTTATGTACTTAATCTTTATTGCCTTTTTAGCCGTCTTTCTGTTTTAATTATACATGTTTTCTTTTCTCTCTACTCTGCCACCAAAAGAGTCTTTGGCTGCTCCTGACCTCAGCAAATCAAGAGGTGACTTATGCATGCCAGTTGTTCATTGATACTCACTAAAACAGTGGTCAAGAGCTGACCCAGCGCTGGCTTGTTTCACTCGCTCGCTTGGTGGATGCCGCAGTAACCAAGTACCCCTTGTCTGTGCCCTGACCCAAAGGCCACTGCCCCCCTTCCCTGTCTGCCAGAGGGTTTCAGCTCCCAGAGGAGAACAAATCTATTCCCACATTGGGAGGGTTTAAAGAAAAGAATAATACTTTTATGCCGTCTAAAATAATCTGTAGACGTAACACATTGATGGATGAGGGCTGTCAAAAATGTGCTGTTTTGGTGCTTGATTGCGTTCTGCTTGGTTGGAAGCATGCTTTGATACACGCCTGTATTAGTTCGTGAATGATTCTAGCTTTCCTTAGGGCTAATGAAAAATAGTGTAACTTTTAAAATATTGAGGTTATTACATTATTATACAGGATATTTGTTTTTTTAATGCTAGCATGTTAAAGATTACTTTGACATTTTAAAGAGTTGCATTAATAAGTATTTTTTAATGACAAGTAGTTAGTGCAGGTCAAGTGACAGTTGGTATTTTACTGCATGGAGACCTCTTTCTGAAAGGACAAGACTTCTGTGCTGAAACCCTGAGATGGAGCTAAACCCTCCTTTTTACATAGAGCAGTGGGTTCTGCGTCACAGAAGGGAAGCCCGGGGGCTGGACTCACTGGTAGGAAAGTGCATGTGTTAGATGCTCGCCCACTGCCTCTGTTAGAACTGTTTCCTTGAATGTTAGGTACTTGCATAAAACTGCAAGTCCACGCTTTAGACAGTGAGCCTAGTTCTTCGAGGGTCTCAGTAGTGGGCTGGGGCCGAGGGTGTCTTCAAAGCAAAGCCCAGGGGTTTCCAAACGGTGGGCTCACGTGTGTGAGGCCTTTGCACTGAGCACTTTCTCCGTGGCACAGTCTTGGGAGGAAACACATTGAAATCTGTTTTCTCTTCCACCCAGGCTACCACTGGGATACATCGGACTGGATGCCAACCGTTCCTCTGCCAGATATACAGGAATTCCCCAATTACGAGGTTATCGATGAGCAGACGCCCCTGTACTCAGCCGATCCAAATTCTATCGACACAGACTATTACCCCGGAGGTTACGACATTGAAAGTGATTTTCCACCCCCACCGGAAGACTTCCCCGCGCCTGACGAGCTGCCACCGCTGCCCCCCGAGTTCAGTGATCAGTTCGAATCCATACACCCTCCCAGAGACATGCCTGCGACAGGTAGTTTGGGCTCTTCCTCGAGAAACCGGCAGCGGTTCAACTTGAACCAGTATCTGCCCAATTTCTATCCCGTCGACATGTCTGAACCTCAGAAAGCAGGCACCGGGGAGAGCGTTCCGTGTAGAGAACCCTATGCCCCGTACCCGCCCGGGTATCCGAGAAACTGTGCCGCCCCCGCCGGGGAGCACCTGCCCCTGTCCGTGTACGCCGCGGCCTCCTGCTCCGACGTGTCGGCCTGCTGCGGAGCGGAGTCGGAGGTCATGCTGAGTGACTACGAGAGCGGAGACGAAGGCCACTTCGAGGAGGTGACGATCCCTCCGCTAGATTCCCAGCAGCACACGGAAGTCTGACGCTCCAGCCCCCCAAGTGCCTGGACTCCAGCGAACCCAGAGGGTCTGTAGGTGGCGCGCCGTCCCCTGCAGCGTGCTCCGCGCTTCGGTGCCGGCAGGGGGCGCAGCGGCCCCGCGCCCGCGCCCCGCGCCCCTCGCCCGCGTCTGTCCTAGCCCACTGTCCTGCCCGGGAGAGCTGCCCTGCCCGCGGCCGTGTCACGTCCCAACGGTCTTCGTCTGTCTGTGTTGAAATATGGAACAAATCAGTCCTGCCATCGTGTTAGCATGATTCATGTATTTATATAGATTTGGTTATTTTAAATTTTCTGTCCCCCCCGCCCACCTTTTTTTTTTTTTTTTTTTCTTTTTGTAAATTTTATGTACAGATTTGATTTTTCATAGTTTTAACTCGATTTTCAAGGTATTTTGTGGGTTTTGTTTTTGTTTCTCGTTTTCTTTTTTTTTTTTTTTATCGAATTTGGGTGGTGTTAGTGTCATGACCTAGCACCCTGATCTTTTTACTATAACCAGGGTTTCACCGTATGTCCTTTTTCACCGAAGTTTGACATTTCATTAATACATATCAGTGTAGTCACGCATTTCTAGTTGTACATAGGATGAGAGATCTGATCCATGCCATGTCTTAAATGGGTTGCTGTATTTTAGAGTTATAAACATTTTTCATTATTGGAAAGTGTATTGGGGACCTTCTGCATACCTGTGTAGAACCAAAACCATCATGACACAGTTTTTATAGTGTCTGTATATTTGTGATGCAACGGTCTTGTAAAGGTTTTTACTGAAAACTACCATTAGCCAGTCTTTCTTACTGACAATAAATTATTAATAAAATATTTTAGCTTTACTGCCTGTTTTTATTTCATATTTACACTCCTGTTCAGGACTTAGTTAATGAACTGAAAAAGATGGACGGACGGACGGACGGACGAACGAATGGATGGAAGAATGGATGTAGAGTGAGTTAGCTTTGGCTTAAAGTGAGGAAGACTCTCCAGGTGCCAACACAGGCAGTACTTACAGATGTAACCACTAGGTGGCAGTATATGGCTAGGCGATACTGCTCAGAATTCTAGGTATAAAGGTAAACAGCGTTCATAAGAAATATTTTCTAACTAAAACCTTAAGAAAGGTTTCCTTTATATTTTTATCTTATTACTATTTGTTGGCCATAATTTAAATGGTTGTATGGTTTTCACCTATGATTTATATAAAAAACAGTCTTTATGAGCATTTTATCTTTCTGTTGTCAGAAGAACTCATCCTCCTTTTATAGGATTTAATGTGAAATCCAGAAGCTGTTTTCCATGGGTATTTATACAGTCAAATTCATCCATCCATCTGGCAAATATTTATACAGTATCCACTATGTGCCAGCCACCGTGATATGAATTCTTAGAACTTTGGAAAGATACTTTTCCCCTTTATATAAATTCCTTCTTTATTTTATCAAATGATATATAAACTATATATAGATACTTATATATATAGTTTAAATTATCAAAGGGAGATAAGATATGTTTAACAAAAAACAGCCAATTCATGCATTCTAATCACTGCTCTCTAAGAAGTTTTCCCTTTTTTTTTTTTCATATTTTTAAGTGTATATGTTGTTTATTTCTTGAGCCCACTGATTTTAGGAATTGTCTATTGACTTAGTATGATGTTAGAGGAAGACTAAACAACCTGGCAAAACCTACGTCACTCATTACCCTTCCTTTGGTTACAGCATACTTTTTAGGTTAATTCATATACTGTTCTCATTGTCTTGATGATATAAATATTCATTGTTGAGCTAAGTAGTATATGATGTTTATTTCTGTTTCCTTTGCAACTTTTTCTTAAACAGTTGCCTTAATCTTTTACTTATTTTGTAAAAATGTGTGACCATTTCATTCATTTGTTCAAGTAATATTTTTAGGTCCCCTACACGAACAGACAGAAATTCCCTACGTTGGGTTTTACACGGGGTGCGTGGCAGGAGGAGATGGTCTGTAAATAAAGTATGTTGCAGTGTGTGGAGTGGTGACTACTGAAGAGAAGAGTTGGTATTGGGAAGGAATGCCTGTGATGGGCAGGAGGGGCCGGTGGGACACTGAAGCTTTGAGAAGGCAGAAGGTCTCCGCGGCAAGCTAGCATTTGCATCAAGTCTGTCAGTTGATAAGGGAGAGTTGCCGTGTTCCTGTCTGGGAAATGACCGTTCAGGCAGAAAAACAGCACCAAGGCCCCGAGGTTGGAGAGAGGACGAGAAGTGGGCAGACAAGCGTGGCCTCGGATTTGTGAAATGCCTCTTAACACCAGGTTAAGCTATGAGAAAGTCTTCGCTGATATCTATAGATCTTTTCTTTGAAGAGTCGGTTTCTCCAGAGGAGGGACCTTCCTTTTCCTGCTTGGGAAATGCCCTCATTTTCAGGTTGGCTGGGTAGGAACACTTAGGCCCCCGCGCTTTGTCCCGAGAACTCTCGTGCTCCCTCCTGTCTCCCTCTTGTCGCAGAGTCTGCTCAGGACAGAGCTGAGCATCTGGGGTCCAGCTAGTGTCCGAAAGCAGGCAGATGCCTGGCCCCATAGGTCACCCTTTCCAGTGTGCATATCAAGTTGCGCCGGCCTCTGCGGGCTCCGAGGTCTGCTTCCTTCTGGGCTGTCCGCCTTTGGAGGCTGTGGTGGGGGATCCGGTGTGAACTGCTCCGGTGACCCATCCCACCCCCTGGTCACTGCCCCCAGATCCCCCCAGTCTCCCGGCCTGCTGAGCGGCCTGTAACGTTGTGAAGGTCGGTGTGGGCTGCTTTCTCTCTTGCAGACTGGCATTCTGTGTCGTTTCTGATTGTGCTTCATCAAAGGCATTAGGGTCCATCTCAATTAGTGCAGCCGCCGAGAGAGAGTTGTTTGTCGGGATTTAATTTCTTCACCAGCAGTTTACTGCCACTACTGCAAACAGAATGAGCCACTTGAAAAGAATGATGAGGTTTTTTTCCCAAGAAAACCTCTGCGTGTGCGAGCACTTAGGTAATTAATGCACTTGGCACTGTGCTGGTAGAGAGTGTGGGCATATAAGAGCTATATTTTCAAAATAGGCTCGACACAGAGGAGGAAGAAAATGGCAACACGTGTGAATGCAGATGTCATTGGACCAGATATATCTCGTGAAGAGCTCACTCATGCAGGGTCTATGTGGAAGCAATGATCAATACAAGCGCAGTGATTTTAGATCAACATCGTTATCCCATCATCTCAAGGGGTCAAATGAAATTCTCAAAATGTCTGATGACTGTTGCTTCAATTCATTTTAATGTTTATGGATACTCCCTAACGGTTTTGGGATGAGGGGAGAATATAGAAAAGGAACAATGAATGCATAAGAGGGTGCGTTAGCCCCTCACCTTTGTCTCAAAGACCTCGGGCACAGTTCCACTTCTTGGCCAAATTTGCAACGTTCGCCTTCAGATGTCAGCGGCAGGCGAGGCTGCCTGCAGCTTGTGAGCTCCAGACCTGGGTTCAGAGTGTACCCTCCACTCTCTGACTACAGGGTGGATGTTGAGCCAACTCCTTCACCTCCTGCTTCGTTTCCTCACTGGGAGGAGGTGGGCTACGACCCCACAGAAGTTGTGTGGAATTGATACAAGCCACCCGAATGAGAGTGGTTCTTCCCGGGAGCTCACATCTTCTGCATCTATCTCGCGATCCTGACTGTTACCCCATTTTCCAGATCAGGAAACCGAGGCCCAGAGAAGATAACTTTCTGAAGGTCACACCACAGGTCAGTGTGGCGACTGAAATTCAGAATCCTGACGCTGGCCTCATGCTCCTTTGTATAGCCCTGGCTGGTTTGGCTCAGGACATAGAGCATCGGCCTGTGGGCCAAGGAGTTGTGGGTTTGATTCCCAGCCAAGGGCACGTACCTGGGTTGCAGGTTCGATCCCCAGCCCCCATCAGGGTTGTGTAGGAAGAAGCCAATTGATGTGTCTCTTTCACGTTCATCTCTCTCTTTCTTTCTCTCTCCCTCCCTCCCACTCTATCTAAAAATCAATGGAAACATATCCTTGGGTGAGGATTAAAAATAATAATAACAATAATAATAATAAAGCAGCTCCTTTCGACAAACCAAAACAACAGTTCTGGCACAAAGTCAATGTTCAATAAATGCTTCGCTGTTGTTACTGTTTTCTTCCCTTCCCATCCCAATCTTCAAATATGCATTTTAATATACACTATAATTTGTTTTAAATGTACCCAAAGAAGGTTTGGTGTGCTGAGCACCCTACGGAACATGCTGCATTTCAGACACTTCCTGAGCCACTAGTCTAGGTCATTTGACAAAGTGACGCTAATCCAGAAGAGTTTGGACCATTTGAATTCTTGTTTTGTATCAATTTAGTGCATTCAACACGGGAGACTTCATGTAGTACAGGTGCAGGGAGGTCTGAAGGTGCTACCTGTGCTGATCACTTATCCAGAGATTGTTTCCGAGTCTCTACTGCAGTGGGCGAGAGCCAAGAAGCGCGGTGTGCCCCCAGGTGAAGGATGGGCAAGATCCCGCGCCTGCTGTTCAGGAGGAAGAAGATGGGAGGGGCCAGGGTCAAGTTCAAGGCTCGCGCCCTCTCATTCCCCACCCGCTCCATTCAACAGAATAGAAATAACACTCTCCATCTCATCTGGGCTCAGGCGCCTCTCGCATCATTCGTTCCTTCACTCTGTTCCATTTATTTCGTGAGCTGCGTTAACAAATACTTCAGTCAACCCTTTGGCACAGGTTGTGCCCAGAAAAGTGGACGGAACTTGAATAGGAGCTGTCATGGCCTTTGGGAAAAGATGCGTCCCTGTGGTCGAAGGTTGTGCGTGTGAAGCAATACATTTAAGAAAAACAGAACTATCATGTTTAGTGCTTTTTTCTCCCAACCCCTAAAAAGCTCTAGTGGATGTTGCTGCTGAAATAACAGTCTACGTGTTTGGAGTCACAGAGTAAATCAAACACGGCAAGTTTTCCCGAGTACTCGTGAGTTTTCTACGTTAACTCGTGGCTAAAGCA